ACCAAACCCTTTCCAGTTTTTTCTGTTGGTCATGGGAGCCCTGTGTGCTAAGTTTGGCCCAATTCCATCATTGGTGGAGTTCAGAATGCTCTTTGATTGTAGGTAATCATTATTTTTATTTATTATTATTGTTGTTGTTGTTGTTGTTATTATTATCCAGCCCTCCAATAGTTTGAGGACCCCTGACCTAGGAGGTATCTACGGACATTGCCGGCTCTTCGGCTTAGAAATGGTGATGAGCACCAACCCCCAGAGTCTAACACGACTAGACTTAATGTCAAGGGGAAACCTTTACCTTTACTTATTTCTAATTAGAAATATTGAAGTGGGCTGCACAATTTAAACTTCAAATTAATCATTCTGCCTCATGCCAAAATTAGATACTAAAATATGAGTTCTTCAAAGCTTTATTTCATACAAATGTGTATTAAATTAATTTGAAGTGTGTTTCCACAATAACAGAGGCTGGATGGCCATCTGTCGGGGGTGCTTTGAATGCAATTTTCCTGCTTCTAATAATAATAATAATAATAATAATAATAATAATAATAATAATAATAATCCTTTATTTGTACCCCGCTACCATCTCCCGAAGGACTCGGTGCGGCTTACAGTAGGCCGAGACCCAATACAACAATAAACAAGACAACAACAATACAGCAGTAAATAAACTCAAGCAATAACATTAACAATAACAACACGACACAATTAAAAACCAATGCTTCTTGGCAAGGGGTTGGACTGGATGGCCCGCCCATAAGGTCTCTTTCAACTCTATGATTCTATGAATTTCATCATTGCTTCCTCTAAGGCAGTGTTTCCCAACCTTCCTAATCCCATGACCCCTTAGTACAGTTCCTCATGTTGTGGTGACCCCCAACCATAACATTATTTTCATTGCTACTTCATAACTAATTTTGCTACTGTTATGAATCGTAATGTAAATATCTGATATGCAGGATGTATTTTCAAATCCCAAATACCCAATATGCCCAAATTTGAATACTGGTGGGGTTGGGGGGGATTGATTTTGTCATTTGGGAGCTGTAGTTGCTGGGATTTATAGTTCACCTACAATCAAAGAGCATTCTGAACACCACCAATGATGAAATTGAACCAAACTTGGCACACAGAACTCCTCTGACCGAGAGAAAATACTGGGAGGATGTGGTGGACATTGACCTTGAATTTTTGGAGTTGTAGTTCACTTACATATATATTGAGTATGGGATATATTGAGTATGGTGATCAGATCATGATATGAATAAACATAACAGTTTAAATAATGCATCAGTAAGACCTTCTCGTGGACCACCAGCTACATGCCTGACTACAAGGGTTTGGTGGGCATTGACCTTGAGTTTGGGAGTTGTAGTTCACCTACATCCAGAGAGCACTGTGGACTCAAACAATGATGGATCTGGACCAAACTTGGCACGAATACTCAATACGCCCAAATGTGAACACTGGAGGAGTTTGAGGAAAATAGACCTTGACATTTGGGAGTTGTAATCACTGGGATTCACAGTTCACCTACAATCAAAGAGCATTCTGAACCCCACGAATTCAAACAATGATGGATCTGGACCAAACTTGGCATGAATACTCAATATGCCCAAATGTGAACACTGGAGGAATTTGAGGAAAATAGGCCTTAACACTTGGGAGTTGTTGTTGCTGGGATTTATAGTTCACCCACAATGAAATAACATTCTGAACCCTACCAACGGATAGAATTGGACCGAACTTCCCATAAAGAACCCCCATGACCAACAGAAAATACTATGTTTTCTGATGGTCTTTGGCGACCCCTCTGACACCCCCTCGCGACTCCCCATAGGGGTCCCGACCCCCAGGTTGAGAAACAGTGCTCTAAGGTTTCGGGAAGTGAATGATTGTCCTTAGTATTCAGCTTTCTTGAAAACCACTACTGATTGTTGATTTTTTGAAGTTTAAAAAACCACAAAGACACACACACAGCTCAAAGCATGTTTTCATACCACCAGCCACAGAATGTTTTATTCCAAGCTTGATCACGCTGTCTGTTACAAACATATGTCAAAAAGTTAACAAGATCCGCCACGTTTCTGCTTACCTCTATTTCGTCAAAGTGATGTAAAATATACTTAGTATTTTACATGTACGATTGATATATAAAACAGCAACAGTTTAAACATGTCTGTCTTGATTGTGAGGTACATTTCATATTTGCTAGCCCTCAGTTTTAGGTTTCCCCATGTTGCATGAAAGAGTGCAACATTCCAGCATATTGCTAGTTGCTGAGGTATTATACCATTACCACCAAACATCTTCCTTGAACTCAAACTCTTGCAAGATCATAGTCAACATTTGAATGTCTAAAAGCAATTTTTCTAAGTACAGCCGTTTGCTTTTTTTTAAAAGCAAACTGTTAAAATGTAGGGTTTCTTACCTCTACACAAACCACACTGTACTTTTTACTCTTAAAATATATTCTGTGCAAAATTTAGTTGTGTGTAGGTCTGTACCATCATTTGGGGAAAATATATAAAATAGACCTAATTCCTAAACACAACTCCAACATCAGACAACACAGAGGAAGAAGAACAGATCCAAAGTTGTTTTTTTTGTACGTGATAAACTAGATATGGCATGTTCTTAAAGCTCCAATAATACATTCCTTGGGGGGGGGGGGGAAACAACAACAGAAAGCACTTTGGTCATTATTAAACATTAGTACAGCAACAAATAAAATACAAAATGTCTGTGTTGCTTTATATATAAAAGTGTCTTATACCACACAAGTTAATGATCTAATAATTCTGAAAAAAGGGGATTAAAGCTGGATATATCTGTTTTCCCTCTTTTTACTTCTTCTTATATCAGCTACCTTATTTTTTATTTATGATCTAAAATACTTTCAAATTGTAAACACAATGCACATATTCTCTACTGCAGAATATGCTAGATGTGCTCAACATTATACTATTATCTCTGTATTGTCGAAGGCTTTCATGGCTGGAATCACAGGGTTGTTGTAGGTTTTTTCGGTCTATATGGCCATGTTTTAGAGCAGTGGTTCTCAACCTGTTGTATGCATCTCAACCTGGGGTCCCCAGATGTCTCTGGCCTACAACTCCCAGAAATCCCAGCCAGTTTACCAGCTGTTAGGATTTCTGGGAGTTGAAGGCCAAAAACATCTGGGGACCCCAAGTTGAGAACCACTGTTCTAGAGGCATTCTCTCCTGGACACAGCATATTATTTGAGAACACAGAATTGCTGGACCACTCTAACAACCACCATGTCACACAGAGAAGCCATTGAAATCCACAAGCATGTGGACAATTTCAACAGAAAGGAGGAAATCATGAAAATGAACAAAATCTGGCTACTAGTATTTAGAAAAAACTCTAAAATTACAACAGCAAAACAACAGAGAGGAAACATGTAGATAGATATCTACATAAAACTCCAACGATCAACCAAGTCAAAAAAGTAGCACCATTAAAGCCTTGGCAGACCATACAAAAAGAATCTGCGAACCCCACCTTCTCCAAGATGAGCTGAACCACCTAAACTGGGCTCTACAGGCCAATGGATACTCCACCTTAGACATCAGAAGAGCTGCAAGACCAAGAACAAGCCACGAGAGTAAAGATAATGATCCACCCAGAGGAAAAGTGTTCTTGCCATACATCAAGGGAACCACTGACCACATAGGGAAGCTGATGAGGAAACACAACATACAAACCACCTACAGACCCACCAAGAAAATCCAACAAATGCTACATTCAGCAAAGGACAAGAGGGATCCTCTCACCTCTGCAGGAGTCTACCGTATTCCATGCAGCTGTGGACAAGTCTACATAGGGACCACCAAACGCAGCATTGCCCAAACACGAATCAAGGAACATGAAAGGCACTGCAGATTATTTCAACCAGAGAAGTCAGCCATAGCACAGCACCTTATGAACTAACCTGGACACAGCATATTATTTGAGAACACAGAAATGCTGGACCACTCTCACAACCACCATGTCAGACTACACAGAGAAGCCATTGAAATACACAAACATGTGGACAATTTCAACAGAAAGGAGGAAACCATGAAAATGAACAAAATCTGGCTACCAGTATTTAAAAAACTCTAAAATTACAACAGCAAAACAACAGAGAGGAAACAATCTGAGACATCTAATCACCTCTCAACAAAAGATTGCCCCAGGCACTGCCAGGCCATCAAATGCTAATCAAGGTGGTCAGTTGAAACATTCAACAAACCTAGCTCCAGCAGGCAAGAGTCCTTTGTCCCACCCTGGTCATTCCACAGATATATAAACCCTTTTTCTTAGTTCCAACAGACCTCACTACCTCTGAGGATGCTTGCCATAGATGCAGGCGAAACGTCAGGAGAGAATGCTTCTAGAACATGGCCATATAGCCTGAAAAAACCTACAACAACTTATCCTTATCAAGTTTCCTTATCAAGTTTCACAGCGTAACCCAAACTGAGTATCCCAATTTCTTCAGCCTTGCCATACATGATCTCTCCAAGAAGTTAATCAATTTATCACCTAAAACCAAGAACCTTATACCTGTGCAGATGTGTGTAAATGTAACTCAATGCATATACAGAGAATATGAACTACTCTATTCACTTGGGGAGAAGCAGCTTGGTGTATACATACTCTTGTGCGTATAATTTGACCACTCCACTGAAGTGAACAGAGATCTTGGAGGCACAAAGCAAGTGTTTTGTGTGCATTTGACATTTCACAACAACACATCACTAATCTAAGGTAACTCTGTAATAGGCAGAGTTCATTCCACAGCATTAATTTCAATAGAACTTATTTCCAGGTGTATGGGATGGCAATCTCAATTTTTAAAAAATCACTTATAGATACTGTCAAATACAGGGTGAGGCAGCATAACTTCCTTTTTTAAAATGCACGCCATTCAGTCGGTTGAAGATGTAGCGGAGTGCTAGTGGCCTCGTTTGAGAGGCGGGAGTATAAAGTTTTGTCCTGACACAGTTCAGTCGCCATCATGCGTTGGAACAGTGAGGAGCGTGCTTTTGCCGTTGAGGCCTACTACTGTTTATTGTTTACTTTTGTTTATGAGATTTATTTTAACTGTTGTATTGATTGTTTTCTTATTGCTTTTACTGTTGATGTACTTTGGCCTCGGCCTTATGTAAGCCGCACCGAGTCCCTTGGGGAGATGGTAGCGGGGTATAAATAAAGTATTATTATTATTATTATTATTATTATTATTATTATTACTTTTCAAGCGGATTTGGAGTGGCTGGCCCGCTCTCCAACATTAACATTGGTGTCAATGTTGGAGTGGACCAAGTGACTTTATCTGCAATGAACCTAGCAAGTTCCTCACAGTGAGCTGCCCATTGGTCAGGGTTAGAGGTCACGGTTAGGCTGAGCAGGGTTTCAGAGTCCCCTGACCACTCGAAACAGCTCTCTTGGGCAGTTCCTTGCAGATGCAACGTGGCAGCAATGAAGGATAGGAATGCATTACTGCTCTCGGCCCTGCCATCTTCACAGGCTCGATTGGCGGGGATGAGGGATAGGGCCTTCTCAGCGGTGGCCCCTCGGTTGTGGAATGCCCTCCCCAGGGACATTCGATCACCCCCCACCCTCTTAACGTTTCGCAAAAAAGTTAAAACTTGGCTATATGAGCAGGCCTTCCCAAACGCAGTATAGATATTAAACTCTGATCTCGGAACGGTTGGACAATGTGACTGGATAATGGCTGGTAATGAAATGCAGAGGACTTATGGTTTTTATTGTGTTACTGATGTTAATTGAAATGATTTTTTACCTGTGTTAAATGTTTTTAATGTTTAAATTATTTTTGTACTGCTGTGGGCATCAAATTGTGCCGTTTTGTAAACCGCCATGAATCGCCCTCAGGCTGAGAATGGCGGTATAGAAGCATAGTAAATAAATAATAATAATATTAAATAATAAATTTGGCCCCTTGTGATTTTTTTCTATGGGGTTTTTTGAAATCCCGTGTTTATGTGAACCGTCCAAGGACCCTACAAGATTTGAAGACCAACATCCAGGAAGAAATTGCCAACATAATGCCTGCTATGCTGTCAAGAGTCATGACAAACGCCAGAAATCGGTTTACTCAGTGTATGGAGAATGGAGAATTGGGGGGGGGGGGTGTCACCTACCTAATTTGATCTTTAAAACTACTTATTATTACTTATTCTTCAGAATAAGGAGAACTCTCAGCAATATGTCCTCACAATGCTCTTTAATACTGACTTAGGATGGACTGTGCTCTCTCATTTCTCTCCGAAAAATCCTATCCTAGTTATTTTTTACTTTGTTCACGTCAGTATATTTTCAATTTTAATCTATTACATTTGGCCCGGCCATTTTTAAAATTATTTATGTCACTATTGGTTGTTTTTTTGTTTATGTGATTTATATGATTTGCATTTTATTGATTGTTTATTGATGTTGTGTTTATTGATGTTTTGTTTGATGTACTTTGGGCTTGGCCTCATGTAAGCCGCACCGAGTCCCTTGAGGAGATGGTAGCGGGTTACAAATAAAGATTATTGTTATTATTATTAAAACAAAACTTTAGGTATGCGCCTACATTATAAAAAAAAATTCTGATTCATACAATGAGTTTTATTAAGTTTTGAAAAAAGGAAGTTATGCTGCCTCACCCTGTATAAAACCATGATGATTTAGTCGAGTATTTATTTGTTGCATTCCATCTGTTTTCTTCCTAGAGAAATCAATGTAGATTTAATCTTGAGTATGGAACACTTAAGTAAACAGGAGTGTGAAATAAACACTCGGATATTATGTGTGTTCAATCTGAAATAAGCCCAGGATTTTCAACAGGACTGATTTCATAAGGGTAACTTAAATTTGTAATTTAATGATTTTCCGCATGGGAAGAAGTTCTATTGAAACAATTAGCGCTAATTTATAAACAGGGTCAGAACTAAACTTTAAAAATTAGAATTTCAAAAGTTGTTTCTATAATAATTTAAAATCTAGAATAGCTGCTGAGTTTATAATCGATGTGTGGTATAAGTCACATATACTACAGTGGACGATGGGAGAGCAGTCTCTTGAGCAAACATAACACATCCCTCTTGCAAAAGTAACACTCTTGCCCCACAGTTCACCATACTATATTCTATTTAGTATATATAAAGATCAATATTAAAAGTAACAATAAAAGTGCACATGTTGAGCGGCACAGTCAGCGCTGTGCAAACAGCCCAGTGTTTCAAATAAATAGCACTGCTAATCTTTATCAAAATATCTTACAGTAGGGTAACAGTTTACAGTTATTGCTCTAATAAAAACGTTATCAAAGAGCACTTGTTGACCTGCTATGTAATACATTATTGACACTCAATAATACTCAAACTTCATTTCAAAGTATTTTGGATCCTGGAATCAATTCAGTCAAGAACCCCGCCAGCTCTAGCATGTATATTTTTATATATCTATATCTCTCTATATCTATATAAAAACGTCGCTACCTGGCCTACTGCATTGTCATTACAGGAAGTGTCATCTTCTACTGTAACCAACAATATGCTGGTGCTCGGATACTACCCCTGAAAGAATGGTACAAAATAAAATGTCCCAAAACATTTTATAGTACAAGTTCAATAAAGTGACTTCAGCATGACACTGTTGTATTGAGTACTTCTGAAGTACAAAGGCCTAGCACTAAGGTATCATCTTTCACAATAGATGAAGCATGTTTTAGTAATTTAGTGTGACCAATTACCAGGACCCCAAGTATCTGGATATTCAGTTTGACTCTTTCAAAAACCAACACGTATTAATGTTTCAAAATAAAATACACTGTCAGCTAAAATAAAAGTTTACAAAAAGTGAAAAGATAAAATAAATATAAAGATTGCACAAGACAGTCAGATGTAAACACTTCAGTTTTTTTCAAATGATATCCTTGAAGAGACTGTAACATCTGAAATACAGAATCAGCAACTGCGGTGAGGCAGCTTAGTCGACCAGTTTTCTTTCCAGAGTATTGACCTTGGTGTCCTTTTCGAGAAGTGTCAGGATTTGATCTTCCAGAGCTGAAAGTGAAGACAGCCGTGAACATGTTAAGTCTTATGTTCAACTGCAGTTTTACTATTTCATTATATCCTCTGCTCGGCCTTCTTCTACATTTCACATTTAGTCTAAATCACTGAAAAACTATTAATTTCTTTAAATACGGAGGTTTCATATTAGAAGAAGTGATAGCTACTCGGGGGTGGAAGTGCAAGGGTTAAGACCACAGCATAAAGGAAGAAGGTTATTTATTTATCTCAGCTTTCTTCCAAAATGGGATTCAAGACAGCTTGAGTCTTTTCCTTCCCCAGTACAATTTATTTATTTATTTATTTACGACATTTATATGGTGCCCTTCTCACCCCAAAGGGGACTCAGAGCGGCTTACAAGATATATATCCATCAAGATTATTAAGATCGTCTGGAGAGGCCCTGCTCTCGGTCCCACCGGCCTCACAAGCGCGTCTGGTGGGGACGAGGGACAGGGCCTTCTCAGTGGTGGCCCCGCGACTCTGGAACTCTCTCCCACTAGAGATCAGAACCGCCCCTTGTATCCTGACTTTTAGGAAACAGGTGAAGACGTGGTTATGGAGACAGGCTTTTGATGAGTGAGACAACACCCTAAGACATGGATGGAAGATGATGTATAATTGTTTTTTAGTATGACGACTGACCACTGTAGTTTTGGATATATTTGTTGTTTTAATGTGTTATTGTAATATGAACTATGATGTTTTTACCGATTGTATGTGTTTTTATGGTTGGAAACCGGTCTGAGTCCCTCAAAAGGGGTGAGAAGGTCGGTATATAAAACTCTGAAATAATAAATAAATAAATAAATAAATAATATACATACAATATATTATATTATTAGCATAGTATAGTATCAGTATTAAATATTACTATATTGTACTATACCATTATATTGTAATATTATTAATAATATTACATGCAATATTTATTTATTTATTTATTTATTTATTTATTTACAGCTTTTATATTCCGCCCTTCTCACCCCGCAGGGGACTCAGGGCAGATTACAGTGTACACATATATGGCAAACATTCAATGCCAATTTTTGACATACAGACATAGACAGAGGCTATTTAATTTTTTCTGGCCGCCAGGGGAAGCTGTTGCTTTCATCGTCCATCTGCGACGCTGATGAAGCACTTCCGCATTCCCCGCATGCTTCCCCGCTGGAATGCTTTTTGCTGGAGTCTTCTTTATGGCCTCATAAATCAGTTAATTTAGCCTCCCCACACTTTAAGGTGGTACCTTATTTTCCTACTTGACAGATGCAACTGTCTTTCGGGTTGCAAAGGTCGACAACAGACTACACACAATTGGTTGGAAACCCACTCCAACCCGGGCTGGCTTCGAACTCATGACCTTTTTGGTCAGGGTGATTTTAATGCAGCTGACACTCAGCCAGCTGCGCCACAATCCCGGTGTAATATAAATATATAATTATAATATATTATTAGTATTATATTGCATTACATTAAAATATTATAAATATTATATGTATATGCAATATATTATATTACATTATAATATATTATTACAATTGTATGGTCAAAAGATTCTACTTAGATTCTTAACTGTAATTTTATAATTTAGAATACAGGTTGAATCCCTTATTCAAAATACTCAGGACAAGAAGTGTTTCGTATTTTAGATTTTGGGGGATTTTGGAATACTTGGAAAGATAAAAATAGATATACACATATACCAACATGTGTGTGTGCACAGATATTCCAAAATATAAGACAGGGAGAGATCTTGGAGGCTGGACCAAGTCTAAGCACAAAACTCACTTATGTTTCCTATACACGTAGTTTGGAGGTTGTTTTTTGTTTGTTTGTTTGTTTGTTTTTTGTCGTGTCAGGAGTGACTCTTGGGGTGAGAGAATTGGCCGTCTGCAAGGACGTTGCCCAGGAGACGCCTGGATGATTTGATGTTTTTATCATCCTTGTGGGAGGCTTCTCTCATGTCCCCGCATGAGGAGCTGGAGCTGATAGAGGGAGCTCATCCTCCTCTCCCCAGATTTGAACCTGCAACCTGTCGGTCTTCAGTCCTGCCGGCACAGGGGTTTAACCCACTGCGCCACCGGGGGCTCCACAGTTTGGAGGTAATTTTAGACATCTCATTTTAAATAATTTTGTTCATGAAACAAGGTTTGTGTATACTAAACTATCAGAAAGCAAATGTGTCACTAAACAATCAGAAAGCAAATGTGTCACTATCTCAACCAGACAATTTTGGGGTATTTTGGACTCTGGAATTCCAGGTAAGGAATGCTCAACCTGTAAAAACACCCTCAAAAAGTCTTCAGGAGATAGATTTTGATTTTGTTTTATGATCAATATAGCTATGCCTGCATTTTATTTTTAGATTGAATCCAAGCAAGTCACTGATAACAAAGTAAAACTTTTGATTTAAGAGGAGAAAAATACATAGAACATGGATAGACCCATCACCAGAATCAAAATGGAGGAAGAGATTAAATTCAAGACACAAGATTATATATGGAAAACAACACTATGAAGAGAAACGGAAGGAGAGACCCCCACTCCCCCTTTCAGCCTTCCCCCTTTTGCACCCCCCTCTTTTTCCCCTTCCCTCTCCATACCTTTTCCCTCCCATTGCCCCCCAAGTTTTATTGATGTAAAAAGAAAATTCACTTAATAAAAATCTATTATATATATATATATATATATATATATATATAGAGAGAGAGAGAGAGAGAGAGAGCTATGCCTGCATTTTACCTTTAGATTGAATCCAAGCAAGTCACTGATGACACCAGAAACTGCAGACAGAATGACAACTTGAGTGATGTTATAAAGCAAAGGATTCATTGTCAATCCATATAACCTGAAGGGACTGTCCAGTTCCTAGGAAATAGAATTTTTTATATAAATAGAAGCCTGTGAAATGTCACATAACTTGAAGCACATTCAAATATCTGGAGAGCAGTATTGGCATTTCCCAGAATTGACGCTTTAGGAAAAGTGATCCTTCTCTGAAGAAATTGCCCTCCCTTGTAACTGCTGCAGCTACAATAAAAATAATGCTGTGGTGGTCATGGAGGTCTATGCAGCTCCCCAAAGAAGAGAAATCTTCTCCACTGTTTCCAACTTTTTCCAAAATTTCCACTGTTTCCAAAATTTCATGTGGTCAAGGAGCTGACATTGTATAGATAGGGTGGAGACATGAAGAGACTGTATTTTTCAAAAAGAAAGTTGTGCAATATTTAAAACAGGAATCTCAGAACAGCCTCATAAGACATTCAGTGGTGTTAAGTATGTTGACTAACTGAAGTAGAGGTGGAGGAACCCAACAACTGGGCTAGCATGCGAAGGGAATGGACTTGTTGAAGAAGGAAAGAAGGAAATATTAAAAGGTCAGAAGAGCCACTTTATAATCTGAGCATGTGTGTGTGTGTGTGTGTGTGTGTGTGATAGTTGGATAGATGGTTGAAAGATAGATACAGAGATCTATATAAATAAAAATGTAATGTTCGTTTGTGGTATTCACAGAACTCAAAAACCCCTGGATGAATTGGCACCAAATTTGGACACGATACACCTAACAACCCAATCTATGTTCTCCACTCAAAAAACCCATGAAAAAAAAAAGCAGAAAGGACTTCAAAACTGCATGACCACAAAGGAGAAACTGCATGTCTAGAAAGAGACCCATGGCCACGCCCCCTCCTCCTCCTAGCGGGGAAACAGCTGGCTGTTAAAGCCTTAGAAGCCAGGCGCGCGTGCCACACACACACACACACACACACACACACTAGTGAGAGTGGGCACCTTGGGAGTGAGGAAAAAGAGGAGGATGGTGGATGGGCTCCTCAAGTCCCTCCCTCGCCAGCAGAAGCAGCAGCCTTTTTCCTCTTGGCTGTCCCCCCTCCCTTTCGTCGCCTCCTCTTCCTCCAAGATGCCCTGGTAGAAGCAGGAGGGAGGGAAGAGGGGAGAGAGACTGTTCCCTTCTTCGCCAACTCTTTCTTCCCTCCCTTATCTGCTCGGCTGTCTCCGGCAACACGAGCACACATTTAACTCTTTCTCTCTCTCTCCTCTCTCCGGGAGGTAGCTGCTTCTGCCACACCCCACTCCTTCTCTCCCTCACTCCCTTCCCTTCTTTCCTCCCTCCCTTTCTTTCCTTTTCTTCCTTCCTTCCCCTTCCTTTCCTTCCCCCCTCCTTCCTTCCTGTCCCCTCCTCCTTCCTTCCTTTCCTTCTTTCCCTCCTTCCCTTCCTTCCTGTCCCTTCTTCCTTTCCTCCCTCCCTTCCTTTCCTCCTTCTTTCCCTTTCTTCATTTCCTTCCCCTTAATTTCCCTCCCTCCTTTCTTCATCCCCCTCCTTCCTTTCCCTCCTCCTTCCTTCCTCCTTCCTTCCTTCCTGTCCCTCCTTCTTTCTTTTCCTTCCCTTCTTTCCCCCCTTCCTTCCTTCTTCCTTTCCTTCTATGTATGATATTAATACAATATTTTATATATTGTTATAAATATTACTATATAATATGTTACTATTATATATTACTATATAATACAAATTAAATAGACTCATAGAATAGAGTTGGAAGGGACAGCATAGGAGTCCATGGTGGCACAATAGGTTAAGCAGAAATACCCAATACGCCCAAATGTGATTGATTTTGTAATTTGGGAGTTGTAGTTGCTGGGATTTATAGTTCACCTATAATCAAAAAGCATTCTGAACTCCACCAGATGGATTTAAACCGAACATGGCACACAGAACTCCCATGACCAACAGAAAACACTGGAAAGGGTTTGGTGGGCATTGACCTTGAGTTTTGGAGTTGTAGTTCACCTACATCCAGAGATCACTGTGGACTCAAACAATGATAGATCTGGACCAAACTTAGCACGAATACTCAATATGCCCAAATGTGAACACTGGTAGAGTTTGGGGAAAATAGACCTTGACATTTGGGAGTTGTAGTTGCTGGGATTTATAGTTCACCTACAATCAAAGAGCATTCTGAACCTCATCAATGATAGAATTGGGTCAAACTTCCCACACAGAATCCCAATGACTAACAGAAAATACTATGTTTTCTGATGGTCTTTGGCGACCCCTTTGATACCCTCTCACGACCCCCTCAGGGGTCCCGACCCCCAGGTTGTGAAACACTGATATAGAGCCTGAGATTCATTGGTAGTCTCCCATCCAAGTATTTACTAGAGCTGAGCTGCCCCTACTTAGCATCTAAGATGAAACAGGCTCTTGTGCCTTTGGGGTATTTAGAGCTGATCTACTTTTAAGGTATATGTGTTTAGTTTTACCTTGAGTAATTTTGTAGCCAGTTTTAAAACATTGTTCACTAATGTCAGTTCTTCCTTCTTATTCGGCTTCTTTTCCATTTTCAAGTACAAATTTATCTAAAAGAACAAATAATTGTTAAAGATTAAAAGATGACTTCACTTCCAGCTTGTGATTTGACATCATAATTTTAGGATACCGAATGATTCCCTCTCACTGCCCTGTCATCAAAAGGTATGTATATGGAAGAAGGCATAAGCCATGATGCACCATATGGTTTTTACAACAGTACACCAGTTTCTAAATGAAAATAAAGTAAACAAGAATGGAAAGCAGCAAACAATATAAGAAATATTTTAAAAAAATGAAAATTAGCCCTGCCACACAACATGCTTTAATCCTTACACATAAACATATGGCTGTAGGTGCTGAAAAATATTACAGTTAACACAAGGCAAGCTGGTCTCTCACTGGTCACCAAAGGCAGCAAACACAGGACGGCTCTGATGGTGAATTCAGTGTTGAGAGGAGAGCTTTCTTGAGAAAACTTGTGTTTATTTTACCTTACTAATTGATACTACAGTCATATGCATACCGAACCAGAATTAAGTCCCTTCTAACACAATCAGAAGACTTAGGAAACTCCTAACTTCTAAATCATCTCTTGGCTGCAATACTATAATGCAGATATTCTAAATAGTTAAGAATTTTAGTATTTTTAAAAAATTCAATTTAGAATCATTGCTGATTTATGAAGGTTCAAAGATGTGTCACTAAACACAGAAAAGTACTATTTTTCATTAATTCGAAGACACACTTTTCCTTTGATATAAGTGTCTTAGAACCACGGTCACACACACATTACATTTTTAAGAATTGTGGTCATACTGAAATTAGGGTGCTTTTTAGAATCAAAGGTGTTTTAGAATCAATGAAAAATGGTATACAGGCAGTCCCTGAGGTACAAACATCTCGCTTACAAATTATTCATAGTTAAGAACGAGGGTGAGACAACAGGAAGTAAGATAAATCTACTCCTTGAGAAATTTACTTCTGGAAGAGCAATAATGGGGAAAAGGTGTCTCGACTGAAGCTTTCTCTCCAATCCTTGTTTCCACAATAAGCCATTTTTTTTTCAAAATCCAATTATCACAGGGTGTTAACCCTTTCCTATGATGTCCAAACAAATTCGACTTAAGAAGAAACCTACAGAACCTATCATGTTCGTAACTTGGGGATTGTCTACTTAAGAACATGTCTCACCATCAAGAAAATTAATAGAAACAAACAGGAACAGAAAGGTTTTCAATTCTTCTAAATTTAGATTATTATAACGGAATGGCACATATTTTTTTCACCTCAGACTGCCATATTGCTGGTTTGCATTTTGCAGAACAAGGCCTTTGCATATGAGAAATTATTATTCTTAGCATTGACTGAATTTCTATGTTCATTCTCAATTGACATGATGTATAGCAAATATTGTAAAAAGTACCAATGAAGAAACAAACACAAAAAATAATGATAAGAGATCTATTTGAAGATCGAAGGGAATTATAATTGAAAAAAAATTAGCTTTCCTTCTGTATAAATGTTTATATAATTTTAAATACTTAATATGTAGTCTACCTTGTAGACTGTACAAAACTTCTCTTACAGAAATTAAGTACCTGTACAAACAAAACAACTTTGGAGGGACAGTTTAGCCATTTTGAAAATGATCCATATCTGACCACAGAATGAAATTGACAACTATACATTATAATTTGACTAGATAGCTTTTTGAAATAAGTACGCTCTAAAAATCATATATGCAGGCATCACACTCTTTTGTGTATAAAGAATGTATGTATCTTTAGAATGCCTATTAATGGCATCCATGTGCTATTTTAATTTTATTTAATTTTATTTCAGGGATTTTTCAAAGCCATAAAGGTCATCTATGGACCAAGAAACCATGGCATACAGCCTCTATGCTCATCAGATGGAACCAAACTCCTAAAGGACCAAAACTCAATTGCACTACGTTGGAAAGAACACTACCAAAGCCTCCTGAACCGCAGCTCCAATGTGGCCGAAGAGGTCCTCTCACAAATCCCGCAACAACAAAACAGGGATGAGCTTACAGCACTGCCTAGTTTGGAAGAAGTCAGCAATGCCATCAGCCAACAAAAAAAATAAATAACAAAGCTAGCGGACCTGATGGGATCCCTGCTGAAATCTTTAAAGAGGGAGGACCTGAGCTGACACACCAACTCCACCAGCTCATAGAAAAAGTGTGGGTGACCGAGAAAATCCCAGCAGATTTCAAGGATGCCACCATCATCACCCTCTTCAAAAAAGGGAAAGAACAGACTGCGGAAACTATCAAGGTATCTCCCTTCTAACCTCAGCTGGGAAAATCCTCGCAAGAATCCTTGCAAACCGCCTTCTACCCCTCTCAGAAGACACCCTCCCAGAATCCCAGAACAGCTTCCACCCCTCCAGAGGAACAGTGGACATGATCTTCACTGCTTGACAGCTCCAAGAAAAATGCAGGGAACAAAATCAACCTCTGTACATGGCATTCATTGACCTTGCAAAGGTATTTGACACAGTGAACAACCTGCGGCTCCTCCATGATGACATGATGGCAACAGTCTAGGACAGCTGACCCATTTAAGGTGGAATCAGGTGTCAAACAGGGATGTGTTATTGCCCCAACCTTATTCTCCATCTTCATCACTATGATACTTCACCTTATTGATGGGAAGCTTCCCACCGGAGTGGAAATCATCTATCGGCAAGCTATTTAACTTCAGCAGACTGAAAGCCAAAACCAAGGTTACAACTTAGGCAAACCGAAGTCACTACGTGAACAACTAACATTTAGGAATGTAAAATACCTGTTATAGATTCACATCAACCAAAGATATATTTGCTAACTTTCCTTGAGCACAAACAGGATGAAATGTCAAACTTCACTTCAGGTCAAGATGCTGTTGTCATTCTTTCCGACAGAGCTCTCACCTGTTCAGTAAGTAATATTGAGGTATTGCTGTATTTTTTACTCGTTTCAGATCCAAGTGTAATAAATCTTAAAAGAAACAAAGTTAGTGAAATGCACCATATCACTAATTCCCAATTATAGTGGCAATCAAGGAAGATTTCATGTACATGAAGAAGCTGAAAGAAAACAAATGAACAAAATTGAAGTATTAATTCTTCAGAACGTAGGGAACATTATAATATTTTCAGTACACAGAAGCGTAATTTCACCTAATTTTAACAATTTCCATGTGAGCGGGTCCAATTAAAGTCAGTGGGATTTATTTCTCAGTGGACAGCCGAAAGACTGGATTCCAAGGCTAAAAGAGAATTTATCAGGTGCAACCTTTACTTAAATGACAGGAGGAGTGCATTGGGGGTTGTCAGGGGGAAGACTAGGAACAACTTAGGCCATATTTCTAGCTCTGATGGATGAGAACATTAACGTGTCTCTGTTTTCATCTGTTCTTGCTCCATTATTATTGGCGAACTAAGAGCTCTACTGGTCATGTAGAGGTGAATCCATATACTTCTGTTGCTGTAAGTCTAAGAACAAAGTATGTTTTTCTGGCATGTTTTTCTTACCTGTGCACAGCAGATGAATACAACAGAAATAGTCAACAAAAAAGCAGATGAGACTATTACATCGACTGACCGTTGAGGACCTCGCCGCTAAAAAAACAAGGAAATATGCATTGATTTGTTTATCTGGAGGAATTAATAATAAAATCTATAGAAATAAAAATGTAATGTTTGTTTATGGGATTAACATAACTCAAAAATCACTGGACGAATTGACAACAAATTTGGATACAATACACGTATCAGGTCAACGAGTGACCATCACTCATAAAACACTGGAAAACACAGTGGAAGAAACTTAAGCCAAAAAAAATACATTACAATGCGTGTGCAAAACCACATATATACACATACATATACACACAAAACACATATACACAGACTGGGCCACAGCAACGTGTGGCATTGTACGGATAGTATGATAATATGGAAACATGTTCATATTGATACATAATGTATAGTGAGACATGATGATGAGTGAAAAAATCCTATTAATAGGATAATTTCACAAGACTGCTTTGATCAAACTGTTTTGAATTTCAGGAGTGCAATGCATCACTTATTTGAAAAAAAGATTAATAAAACAGTTACGATGTAGTATATGAAAATTAAGAAAAACACACTACTTGGAAATCAGACTGAAGAGGAAGGAAATAGGTTATTTTGGGAATTTCTTTGCTTTGCTTTGGGTACTTTTAGTCTTGTTCACGGGGTGTGGCTGCACAAAGTTTTGGTTGCTTAGGAAGATATTATGATTCAGACTTGAGAACCCAATATTGAATTGGTGGTGGTGGTGGGGGGGTGCTCTACTAGATCATTAAGAACTGAATAATAGATCAGAGTGATCATCTCCTGGTAGTACTATAGAATCGTGTGTGCTAGAAATTGATCTAGTAACATGGAATGATAGGGGTTATCACTTTTTAAATTTTACTATTAAATTCTCACAGAGGAAGGCAGAATTTCAGAAAATTTACATCCTTTAAGAGTTGGGCTCCCTCTACTGGATTGCAAGACAGCTAAATCAAGAATACAACTCCTCTCCTCGGCACAGTATTAAATCTTCTCCAAGTGCAAAAGAGGAGGCATGAAGAAAATTATGTCAAGTCAAAGAGCAGTACAGTTTTCTTTTATTTTACTGTCACACAGAGAATCTGAATAGGAGGAGGAGGAGGGGGGGAGGAGGAGGAGGAGGAGGAGGAGGAGGAGGAGGAGGAAGAATTTAATTTTTCTACCCCGCCTCTATCTCCCTGAATGACCAGACCGCCAGAAGGGACAGAGAGTTTCATCTATGCTGATGATCGTGCCATTACTGCTCAAGCAGGGAGCTTTGAAATGGTTGAACAGAAGCTCTCCGAAGCTCTAGGTGCTCTTACTGCCTATTACAGGGAAAACCAGCTGATCCCCAACCCATCTAAAACACAGACATGTGCTTTTCATCTCAAGAACAGACAAGCATCCCGAGCTCTGAAGATCACCTGGGAAGGAATCCCACTGGAGCATTGCAGCGCACCCAAATACCTGGGAGTCACTCTGGACCGTGCTCTTACCTACAAGAAGCACTGCCTGAACATCAAGCAAAAAGTAGGTGCTAGAAACAATATCATACGAAAGCTGACTGGCACAACCTGGGGATCACAACCAGATACAGTGAAGACATCTGCCCTTGCGCTGTGCTACTCTGCTGCTGAGTATGCATGCCCAGTGTGGAATACATCTCACCACACTAAAACAGTGGATGTGGCTCTTAATGAGACATGCCGCATTATCACGGGGTGCCTGCGCCCTACACTACTGGGCTGGTATTGCACCATCTGACATCCGCCAGGAAGTAGCAGCCAATAGTGAAAGGACCAAGGCAGAGACATCTCCAGCTCATCCCCTGTTTGGGTATCAGCCAGCACGTCAACGACTTAAATCTAGAAATAGTTTTCTAAGATCTACAGAGACACTCGCTGGAACACCCCAGCAAGCGAGAGTCCAAAAGTGGCAGGCTCAACCCAGAACCTCAACCAATGGCTGATACCAAATGAGAGACTCCCCCCTGGGCACACAGAGGACTGGGCGACTTGGAAGGCGCTGAACAGACTGCGCTCTGGCACCACGAGATGCAGAGCCAACCTTCAGAAATGGGGCTACAAAGTGGAATCCTCGACATGCGAGTGTGGAGAAGAGCAAACCACTGACCACCTGCTGCAATGCAACCTGAGCCCTGCCACATGCACAATGGAGGACCTTTTTGCGGCAACACCAGAGGCACTCCAAGTGGCCAGCTACTGGTCAAAGGACATTTAATCAACTACCAAACTCACAAATTTTGTATTTTGTCTGTTTGTTCGTTTGTTTTGTTCTGTTAGAAATGTAATATAATCTACTGGTTGCCCTGACACGATAAATAAATAAATAAATCTCCTCGAAGGGACTTGGGGCGGCTTACTTGGGGCCAAGCCAAGGCAACATACAATTAAAAGCAGAGAAATAACAAGTTACAATTTAAAATAGCATAAAACAGCATAACAATAGTAAACAAGCACCAAGCAACAACAAACTAAGGAAAGGGGGAAGGACGCCGATATGCAAGCTGATTAAAGGGTAAGTGGTTCAATAAGATGGATAATATATAATAGCATAGGAAATATTATGAAAACAGAGCTATTTAACCGGATCAGAATCAGAATAGGTATCCTTAAATAGATTCTAGCCTTCCACAGCAGAAATCATTGGAGGAAGCATAGGCTCCAGTGCCACAAGTGAGTACACAATGCCTGAACAGAAACTGAATGAAAATTAACAGATAAACAAAATACTTAGCAAAACAATGAGACATGAAAATGTATATAGAAAATTTAAAATACTGTAGTGAAAAAGGATTGTAACCACTGGCATAATAAAACACAGCAATCTAGTAGATGTCCATAAAATGTTCAGCCAGATCTCTACCCTACTTTGCCGGAAGCACAATGGAAACAACTTGAGTATAAAGAAATCACATCTTTACAGATGTGATTAGAGGTGTTATCAATAGTTATCTATTTTTCTAATGAAGCTATGTGATTGCCAAATTCAGCCACAGCCCGGCAGATATTACAACAGGCTCAAGAAAAGACCAATAGACTAATGATTTGCAAATTCTCTAATCGATCTCCAGCAAGGACTAAAAAACTTCATGTAGTAAGATAAAGCTTCTATCCTACAATTTAATTCTACTTCTTTTAAATTATGAGAAAACATTGGGTTTCCCTCCCTCTTCCTCGCCATCTGCCTGCCATTTTTTGTCCTCCGTCATATGGTATTCCTTCCGAACAGATGAATGAAGCTGTATAAACTTTTAACAAAGAGTAATGAAAACCTGCCATTATCTAAAAAAAAAAAAATACTATATCAGATCATATTTGTGAAATACTGCAAACTGTGCTTGCTGCTAATTCTGTTAATTGGGCAGAATTCATCCACTATGTTACAAAATTTTGTAGGCATGTATTCTTGAAGTAAATAAAGATAGCCTACTTCAATCAAGGCTGGCAGGAATTTTCAGCTACCGACTTTGATTACTTCCATTTTCATTTGTTGTTGGATGTCTACAAGTTGTTTCCTACTTATGGCAATCATAAAGTGGACATATCATGGGATTTTTGCTACTGACTATTTCTAAGGTTGAGAGGAGGTGACTTGCCTAAGACAACCCAATGGGCTTCCATGGCAAAGTGTCTTCTGGGATCCTTGTCCAATACTCAAACCATTACACCACAGGGTTGTTGTAGGTTTTTTTGGGCTGTATGGCCTTGGTCTAGAGGCATTCTCTCCTGATGTTTCGCCTGCATCTATGGCAAGCATCCTCAGAGGTAGTGAGGTCTGTTGGAACTAGGAAAAAGGGTTTATATATCTGTGGAATGACCAGGGTGAGACAAAGGACTCTTGTCTGCTGGAGCTAGGTGTGAATGTTTCAACTAACCACCTTGATTAGTATACAATGGGCTGACTGTGCCTGGAGCAAACTTGTAATCAAGGTGGTCAGTTGAAACATTCACACCTAGCTCCAGCAGACAAGAGTCCTTTGTCTCACCATGGTCATTCCACAGATATATAAACCCTTTTTCCTAGTTCCAACAGACCTCACTACCTCTGAGGATGCTTGCCATAGATGCAGGCGAAACGTCAGGAGAGAATGCCTCTAGACCATGGCCATATAGCCCGAAAAAACCTACAACAACCCAGTGATTCCGGCCATGAAAGCCTTCGACAATACATTACACCGCACTTGCTCCCTTCATCTTCACTATAATTTAATTAAATGCTTTTAAAATATTTTAAAATAGTGCTTTAACAGAGTTGTTTGTTTTTTTTTAAAAAAAAAAACATTTCCACTATGAACTGTCTAACTGAAGTTTGTTTTAACATATACTGTAAGACACCTTGGATCCCATACTAGAAGAAAAGCATGAGAGCCAAACAAACAAATAAGCCCAAATTATTCACAGTGAAAAATAGTGGTTCACTAGTCTGAAGCACAAAAACAGAAAAGCAAAGATTCAATGGAGGGTTGATTCAATATTCAAAATCAGAGTTGTATTATATAGTGAAAGACTACAATTTCCATACTCAAAATGCAATGAGCTCAATGGGGATTCCCTCTGAGTAAACATAGCACTGTAAAATGTCAAAAAAGAAATAATGGCAAACAAACCTTCAGATAGGAGCGAAGGGAAAGCCACATTTTAATATTCTGCACCTTCTTTAACCGGAAATGAGGAACTTCTGATTTCCGTGCTCTTCTTGCAGATGTTAAGTGACCAAAGAGTTTTGCAAACAATAGCCTCTGCAAAAAAAGTTATTTAAAATTAATTAAAACACTGTGAAATAAAGCACTAAGATTTTTTCATGACTCTATGCTACTTTTAACAGGATGTGGAGAAAAGAAACAAATACTGAAAAAGGGAGGGAGAATTGTTACTATTCTTGCTATAGTTATAGCCATTTAATGCCATTGTGCATTTTAGTGAATAGTGTTTTCTTCTGCAATGTTAAAAGCTATCTTGGAATACAATATTTTTAAAGGGATTGTAATAAGTAATAAAATGTTATAAATATCAACAAATCATACTAGAAACAATCTATATAAATAAAAAATGTAATGTTCGTTTGTGGGATTAATATAACTCAAAAACCACTGGACAAATTGACACCAAATTTGGACATAATATACCTATCAGGCCAACGAGTGACCATCACTCATAAAAACACTGAAAAACACAACAGAAGAGACTTAAAAAGCCAAAAAACAAAAATTACATTACAATGCTTGTGCAAAACCACACACACATATATATATGCAAATATACACAAATATACACACACACATATACACACAAAAAAAACACATATACACATATAATGTTCAAGGCAATATATACAGACTGGGCCACATCAACGTGTGGCAGGGGACGGCTAGTATTACAATAAAATGGTACATTTTCCTTCCTTCTGGGTTTGATGCTAATGCCTACCTGTTTATAAGTTCTCTCAGCCACACATAACAGGAAGAAGAAAATCCACACAAGGGAAACACGAACAACAAAGCATACTACAACCATGGAAAGGACCATGATGTCTCCATTTGACCCAAAAGCAATTGTATAAAGTTCTATAGCAGAATGTGTTGCTAGGTGCTCCAGATCCTTAGCTTGGGAAAGTCGAAATACAAATGGTGTTAAACCCAGGATTATAGACACAACATTTCCAAATATCTGGTAACCTATTCCTGGTACATAGCTGTTCACCTGAAGACAAGAAAAGAAAACAAAAGCTATAGCACATTATAATATAACACATGTTAATTAAAAAAAACCTGTTAAATTCTGCTTCACAGAAATGATTATTTTCAAATATTAAAAATGTTTGCTAAAATAGCATTCAGAAGTCAATAAATGAGGATAAGCAATCTTTGAGATATGAATAGTAACGCAATATTTAGACATTCTGTAGGATTATTACTGTATATGCCCATGTATAAGTCTAAAAAAAATAGTAAGAAAACCTGTCATCTGAACCATGGGTCAATGTAAGTACTGTTCCTTAACTTTCTTTTCTAACTACAGTGGCAAAACGTAGCAGCTCAGTCTCTCCTGTGAGAAGCTAAAAGAAGTACTGCCCCCTTCTGCTCTCTTTCCAGTGGTGCTAACTCAAGTCTTTTTAATGCTTAGGTGGGACCAGGAAAGTAATGGGGGTTAGGTCTTCTTTTAGGTTCCCCTGGACTGAACTGATGTTTTCCTTTTGCCACTCTACTCTGAGAAGGAGATGGTTTCTTTTTTTGATAGGGATTTAATAATAATAATAATAATAATAATAATAATAATAATAACTTTATTTATATACCGCTCTATCTCCCCGAGGGGACTCAGAGCGATTCCCATACAAAGTAAAAAACAACATAACCATAAGATTAACAAAAACAAAATATAAGTATAAAAATTGTCACCATAACACACATATATTAAAAGAATCCTGCCTGTTCAAGGCAATTAAAAAATTTAAAAAGGCCGGGCCAAAATTTGTGCAAGCCCAAAAATTCTAGGGGGCCCAGGAATTAAGTGCAATGCTATGGCATGCAACAATAATATTAGGATTTAATATTGTGCATTAACTTTTATTAAAAACTTTCTTATCCACTTCTCTGAATAAAGTGGCGAAAGTTCTTCTTGAATCACTAGGCAGGAATATAGTGATGGGCTGGGGGTGAAAGGCGTCCCAAGACAGCACTGGCACAGCCCTTTCTGCAGAATGATCCCACAACTTATCCATGATGTAAACTTATACATTAACACATATGACATGTCTGATGAACTGCTATAGGTTAAAAATGACAATTGATTCAATCCTATGAAGCTTAAGGAGAGTTGTCCCAAATAAAGGGGTTTGCGGGGAGGGGCTTTTCATTCTTGCTATGAATGAAAAATTGAAGAGAGTGCAATTGATGGACATAACTGAAAAAGTTGGGATCTCGCTTTGAAAACTGTCACATAGTGATACAATCAATGTGATTGTGGATTGCTCCTCTGCAGCATCCAGAGAGTAGATTGTGTCACAAGGAAAGTGTAATGGACTGGCCTACCCTGAAGGGTTGGTGTGAAAAGAATTGGAGTGTATAAAGGTTGGTTTTAAAGGCAGAAGCCATGGCAGCTTGCTGGAGCTAAGCAGGAGCTGAGGGGTGGAGCAATCGGACAGTCTCTATGGCTGAGGTGCAGCCTGATTGCTTGTTATATCTGTTACCCACCCACCAGGCTGGACATACACTCGACCTAGTTTTTGTTGCGGACAGCAGAATGGTTAGAGTGGAAGAGCAAAACATTCTTCCATTGTCATGGTCTGACCATCATCTGATCAGCTTTAGGCTTGCTGTGACCTCTAACCTCTGCAGGGGTGGAGGACCAACTAAGATGGTCCGCCCCAGGAGACTGATGGATCCAGAAGGATTCCTGAGGAATCTTGGGGCTCTTCCTGTCATGGAGCCTGGTGATCCTGTCGACGCCCTGGTTGATCACTATAATAGTGAGATGGCCAGGGTGAAAGACTTGATCGCTCCCGAACGCCCCCTTTCGTTGCGTAGAGACACACCATCTCCTTGTTTCACTGGGGAGTTGGCTGTGATGAAGCACACGAGAAGGAGGCTAGAGTGCAAATGGAGGAAATCTCAGGTTGTCTCTGACTGAACATGGGCTAGAGCCTCACTTAGGGCCTATTCTTCTTCCTGAGGAAATGGAGGAGGTCTTGGGGGCTGTGAGGGCGACCACCTCGGCTCTGGACCCCTGCCCGTCTTGGCTAATTAAATCAGACCTCTATATTTTGGTGGCACTCCGTGGGATCTCTGTAAAAGCGGGTCAGAGTTCTCTATAGAAAGACCTACAGCTAAAGATGGGAATCAACAAAAACAAGGGCCTCTTCCATCTGCTTCCATGATCTGTTTGAAAAATTGTTCTGATTGGACCCTCAATTTTACCAGACTGGGTAAACTGACTTATCTTAATGTTACTTTTGTGATATAGACCACAATTTAGATGTATTTTTTAAAGACTGGTAGTCGTTTGATGCTCTGGGTAAGTTATATGCACAGTGCCAAGCAGGCAAGGCATATTCTAGAGACGTCTGTCCTACTTGCTATAAAAACAAATACACGTTTCATGTCCAGTTTTATTACAAAGCAAACAATCCAATCCCTTCCACCTCTGGAAAACACACATCTTTAATTTGAATGAAGAGTATAATAGAATAAATAAAGTAAAAAATATTCACCCTGTTCATGATCATGCCACTGATCTCAAGCACTGACATATCAGCCTTTTTGCAGTCATTACCTTCCCAAACAATTGCGCTCACTTTTTCTAGGCCAGGATTAGAACTATGAAACCAAGGCAAATGGCTCTGAAAAAAAAAGCAGGAGAGGGGAGATTTAGGAGATTCAACACAAATTCATTATTACAAATGGGAGCATTATACTGACTCACAGGTCATTGTATTTCATCCTATTAATGTTCTAATTACCACAAATTTAATTCAGTACAGATATGGGAAATACATACAATCTGTTCCTTTTGTACTAACCTGGTGAAAGGGGTCATCTCTATACTCTTTTTTCATACATGAATTGACTTGAGAGTTCTCCACATCTGTCTCGCTAGTACAGGATGAGCGACACTCTGCACAGTGCAAAAGATCCTCCCACAATACATCTTCTGTCTCAGACTCTGGTCTCGTGCTCTCAGAATCTTGTCTGGAACTGGAACATCGTGAACTACAACTAGTTCCCGATTTAGGGACATCCTAAATATATATACATAAAGGTAAACATTAAAACCCACATTGTTCTGTAATCAGTAACTAATTTGGTTTATAATTTTAAAAAACATACCCAGAAGCTTTTTTGATAAAATGAAATGTTTTCTGATACATAAAAGCGACTGGGAATAGGGTTTTTTTTTTTTTTGGCCTATATGGCCATGTTCTAGAGGTATTCTCTCCTGACGTTTCGCCCGCATCTATGGCAAGCATCCTCAGTCTGAGGATGCTTGTCATAGATGCGGGCGAAATGTCAGGAGAGAAAGCCTCTAGAACATGGCCATATAGCCCGAAAAAACCTACAACAATCCAGTGATTCCAGCCATGAAAGCCTTCGAAAATAGACTGGGAATACTTTTGAACTGAAGGCCAGCATGCTGCAGTGGATTCAGCATTGGACTCTGGGAGCCCAGGTTTCCTATTCAGCTTCAGTTCTCACTGGGTACCTTGGGCAAGTCATGCTCACTGAAGGCAAAAGCAAACCCCCTCTAAACAAGTACCGTGTATTCCGGCATATAAGACGACCCCAACTTTTCCAGTTAAAATATAGTTTGGGATATACTCGGCGTATAAGACTACCCCTATTCCAACACACACCAAATAATTTTTTTTAAAATGTCAGATTTGGTTTCAATATGGTAATTTTCCTATTACTATACCTCCTTCTCTGCCTCTCAGATCTTGCACATGCACACCTGCACCACTTCATTGCAGTCTTCAGAAGCGAGATCTGAGAGGCAGAGGAGGAGGTATGGTGATAGGATACAAGGGTGGGCCAGACAGGTAAAAGAAGTGTGTTTTTCTGGGCCTAGAGCTACTCTATCTCTTTTCTCCATACCCAGGCGCCCCGGATGCCTGCAGCTTGCTTACACCTTCCTGGTGAGGGACCGCATTAAGTCCACGAATCCTGATGAATGGATTTTCTTCTACCGTACTTGTACTGCGTCACTCTTAATGCTTTCATACAGTCGCTGCATATGGCAGGGACGCGGCCACTGCCATTTTTGAGCTCCCCCCACAATATGCAGCAACCACAGATTCTCCAATCCAGATTGGAAGTTTCAGTACCCGCTCTATAAGACGACTCCCAGCGTATAAGACTACTCCCACATATAAGACGACTCCCATGCATAAGGCTACTCAAGCGTATAAGACGAGTCCCGTGTATAAGACGACCCCTGACTTTTGAGAAGATTTTTTTGGGTTCAAAAGTAGTCTTATATGCCAGAATATACGGTATTTCAAAAAACAAAAATTCTGAGATAGGTTTGCCTTAGCGTTGGCATTAAGTCAGAAACAATGTAACTCAGAAACAACAACTTCTGGACCATTGTACTATGTAATTTAATGTTATGATCCTAAAAACATTTCTGCTGATTTTTCTATTTCATCTCTGTTAAACAAAATGATATATTTTCTACTAGAAAACTTTAAAATGAGCATCAGATATAGCACATACATCAAAATTACACTTGTTCCTTTAACACTGCCACTTAGTTCTTCCTCCACAGAAAGCTTCCAATTGTGTTCACATTCAATCCCGAAACAAGCCAAAGTCCTAGCATTGACAAGCTACAATTCTGAGTTATATATGATTTACAGGTGTTTGTACAATGGATGAAACTGTTACTATGGTAAGACAGGATAAGATAGGATGCCACTCTGAGTAGACAAAATTGGGAGCATAAAACTAGGAAACCAAGATGAATTTGGCCTTTAGAAATCAACTAATTTCAATGTTTGCAAAGAACAGGGATGCATGGGAATCAAACACTAGGATTCCTAATAGAGAGTGAACAGTTACCCTCATACGTGTAGGGATGTCTGAATGCAACCATAAAGCTTTCTGTTCCAAACCTCTTCTGTAACAGATTTCTTTTAGGCTTAAGGATAATAATTACCATGCAAAGCTAGTCCTATTGTTAAAAACAGCAAAGCGGCTGATGCAATTTTGAAGCAGCTGATGTACTTCCCAATTCCTGCCAAACACAGGGCGAGCCTTCACAAGGGAAAAAGCCCAGACTCACTTAAATCCATTGTTGGCTGTGCCTATAACATTCACCAACGGTCCAGTGCGTATTGTGAATTTTTTAGGTTTAAACTAATTTTGCCACACTTTTGTCAAAATCAGGGATACTCCAGAGCTTGCTAGAAACTCAAGTATCCCAGGATTGTATGACAATATGGAAAGTTGTATTGGGTCCGATCTTAACTGGTCCGCTCTCCAGACAGACACCATACAATTGCCCTTCCCCTGTGCTGAAGAGTGCAGAGAAAGGCAAAGTCTCATTCCGTGTCACTGCTGCCACTCCCAACTAGTCATTGAACTCCATCTGAGCTTCTGCCATCACAGGCCCCTCTGTTATGCCAGAACAGGGTGCCTGCACAACCAGGAAGAAGAAAAGGGGTGGGAATCATTTTCCCATGATATGATCTTGTGTCATTAGGGAGTATGGACAAAAGATGATTGTCACCAATTTCATGGGGTGACAGTTTGGAGAAATTAATTTCATATTGAGATGAAGGCTCCATTATGTTATATAACTCCCAAAGTGTGAGATATATCAAAAAGAGAGAGGGCAGAAACTCACTTCCCACCTTTCTTGACTACTGATATCTATATAAATAAAAATGTAATGTTCGTTTGTGAGATTAACAGAACACAAAAACCACTGAACGAATTGGCACCAAATTTGGACCCAATACACCTAACAACCCAATGTATGTCCTTCACCAATGATGGAATTGAACCAAACTTGGCACACAGTTCTCCCATGACCAACAAAAAATACTGGAAGGGTTTGGTGGGCAGTGTCCTTTGGTTTTGGAGTTGTAGTTCACCTACATCCAGAGATCACTGTGGACTCAAACAATGATGGATCTGGACCAAACTCTACACCGGGTCCTCAAACCTTTTAAACAGAGGGCCAGGTCACAGTCCCTCAAACTGTTGGAGGGCCAGATTATAATTTGAAAAAAAAACATGAATGAATTCCTATGCACACTGCACATATCTTATTTGTAGTGCAAAAGACACTTAAAACAATACAATAATTAAAATGAAGAACAATTTTAACAAATATAAACTTATTAGTAGTTCAATGGGAAGTGTGGGCCTGCTTTTGGCTGATGAGATAGGATTGTTGTTGTTGTTGTGTGCTTTCAAGTAGTTTCAGACTTAAGTTGACCCTGAGCGAGGGCCGGGTAAATGACCTTGGAGGGCCGTATCCGGCCCCCGGGCCTTAGTTTGAGGACCCCTGCTCTACACGAATACTCAATACGTCCAAATGTGAACACTGGTAGAGTTTGGGGAAAACAGAATCTTGACATTTGGGAGTTGTAGTTGCTGGGATTTATAGTTCACCTACAATCAAAGAGCATTCTGAACCCCACCAACGATGGAATTGAACCAAACTCGGCACACAGTTCTCCCATGACCAACAAAAAATACTGGAAGGGTTTGGTGGACAGTGTCCTTTGATTTTGGAGTTGTAGTTCACCTACATCCAGAGATCACTGTGGACTCAAACAATGAAGGATCTGGACCAAACTCTACTCAATATGTCCAAATGTGAACACTGGAAGAGTTTGGGGAAATAGAATCTTGACATTTGGGAGTTGTAGTTGCTGGGATTTATAGTTCACCTACAATCACAGAGCTTTCTGAATCCCACCAACGATAGAATTGGGCCAAACCTCCCACACAGAACCCCCATGTGGGCCACAGCAACGCGTGGCAGGGGATGGCTAGTTTAAGATAAAATATTGCACTGATTAAAATAACATATTAATAAAATGCCAACAGATGTAGAAGAGCAAAGGACAATCATGCTTTCTGTTATTACACTCTTTAAAAAATCAAGTGTTAATTGAAATGAAAAAAATTCTCCATATTGATAAAATGTGTAGGAAGACAATTTCGAATCCTGGATATCACAGCCAGAAAGGCTCTCTCTCTGACAGCTACCCAGTGAAGGAAAGACCAATGAATGTGAGGCTGACAGGCATAACCATTATTTTTAAAGGGATTCTTCACTTTGATAAATACATATAGATGGTTGGAGAAAAAAGTATAGATAGAGAATCGGTGCAGGGGCATACCTCCACGGGATAATGTTTCTTATAATGATGAGGTTTCCTGTTTCGAAATGCACAGTCACTGGAAGCACGTTCTGCATTACGGCGCAGGGTATATCCAGTTTCTGGGACCTCCTCACTTGAAACTTCATCAGAAACATTAGTCACTGTTCTGTGATTGTCCTAATCCAATTAAGAATGAGCTATTAGCAAAATAAACATTGTTTTTACTTCAAATATAACTTAATTCAATTCTGTGTTGTTTCGGTATAATCCTATGTACATATATCTGTACAATACATATTAACAGAAATGTAATAAAGAACTTGAAAGGCTATGGGAATGCATTTATAGTATTTCTTCTCTGGCTACAGAAATTGCAAGCACTCCATTTTGGCCTTTTTCAAATACATACATATTAAAAGAACTGAAAATGCAAGTAATTCTGTTTATATAATTCTATTTTTGCTATCTTTTTTGCTGAACAATGAGAAAGAATACACTAGGCACATACAAAAGCAAAACCAAACACAGGTAAGAAATTCTTGGCATGGATGGCATTGTTATTCAAGTCAGTCAGATGGCAGACAAACAAGAGAAACAGCAATTCTCTTTCATATGTCAGCAGCAGCAGTAGCATTTCCTGAAAAGAGGAAACCGCAAGCTACAAAGGCTATGCGGAAAGGAAGGGTTGTACAATACTATTAGTCAAACATTTAAAATAATGGAAACATTGTAATTGTTGACACTGAGCATTATTATTCTGAAGTGTGCTCAATTATGCAATACTCATGCTTCTTCATGCATTGTGGAGTATGGGACTTTCCTCCACCATGTCAAGTAATTTTATCTGGTTTGTTATCTCTCCACTCCACCCTACCTCAACAGAAGATATAGTGGCATCATTTATGAATTCTTTCCTCTTTTTTAGACCATATGTACTTAACTTCAAGAATAAAATTCACTGCCTAGCTGTGACTGGAATTAGGGGGATGGCCCTTAAATGGCTGTCCTCTTTCCTTCAAAAACAGGGTCAACGTGTGGAGATGGAAGGGTCGGTCTCTAAGAGGGCCCCTCTCAAATGTGGAGTCCTTTCAGGGGGCTATCCTCTCCCCCTTGTTGTTTAATATCTATAAGCAACCACTTGCCCAGCTGATGCGAGGCTTTGGGCTTGAGTGCTATTAGTATGCTGATGACACTCAACTCATCCTGAGGATGGAACGCCGACCGGACTCAATACCTGGTAATTTCCATCAATGCCTTGAGGCCGTTACTGGATGGTTGCGTGCCAGTAGGCTAAGGGTGAATCCAGCGAAGACGGAGATCTTCTGGTTGGGCCGCCCGGACAGAGGGGTGATCCGGTTGCCTACCCTGGATGGCGTGACATTATGCCCGCCATCCTTGGTAAAGAGTCTGGAAGTCCTTTTAGACCCTCTGCTGATGATGGACGCCCAGGCCTCTGCTGCGAGCAGAGTCGCATTTTTCCATCTGCATCAGGCTAGGCGGCTGGTTCCCTATCTGTCCAGAGATGACCTGGCCATGGTGATCCAGGCTACGGTTATCTCAAGGCTGGACTATTGCAAGCTTATTTTCTGCTTCCCTGGAGACTAGGACATGAAACAATGGCTTCAAACTACAAGAAAGGAGATTCCATCTGAATATGAGGAAGAACTTCCCGACTGTGAGAGCCATTCAGCAGTGGAACTCTCTGCCCCGGAGTGTGGTGGAGCCTCCTTCTTTGGAAGCTTTGAAACAGAGGCTGGATGGCCATCTGTCAGGGGTGATTTGAATGCAATATTCCTGCTTCTTGGCAGGGGGTTGGACTGGATGGCCCATGAGGTCTCTTTCAACTCTTTGATTCTATGATTCTATTGTAATGCCCTTTACATAGGCCTGCCTTTATCGGTGATCCGGAAACTTAAACTAGTGCAAAATGCTGCTGCTCGGCTTCTCGCAGGGGTTCCAGCGAGGTGCCACATCACTCCAATCTGGCAGCAACCGGATTACCTTCAAAGTGCTGGTTCTTACCTTTAAGGCCTTATATCGCCTGGGGCCGGAGTACCTGAAGGACCGCCTCACTCCCTACCAATCCCCGAGATCACTTCATTCAGACTATCACAATCTCCTTGAAGTTCCCAATTTTAGGACCATTCACCTGATGTCTACTAGGCGTAGAGCTTTCATGGTGGTGGCTCCTTATCTGTGGAATGCTTTGCCAGTGGGAACACGAGCTCTCCGTGATTTACTTGCTTTTCGTAGAGCTTGTAAAACTTATTTATTTAGGGTGGCATTTGAATTTTGCTGATCGAAGTTTTTCTTGATCTTATATGTAATGTATCACATGTGTATATTGTAAACCGCTCCGAGCCTTCGGGGAGTGGCGGTATATAAAATTGATGAATAAATAAATAAATAAACTAAAAAATTACAGGAGATGTCTTCAGATCATTCAAATAAAGAAAAAAGGGGTCAAACTACAGTCACAGGCAAGGTGAGAATCCCTGAATGTACTTTCTAATATTTGGTGTATGTTCTAGCAAAAAAAAATCTCACATGCATTGTGGATTCATAATATTCCATCAAATACAGGTGAAACAGCAACAGCAACGAATAATAGGAATGGCAGTGTATCGCTTGTTCTAGAAATTAATTTCTCCCAATTGTGAATGATCACAATTATTTTCTTGCTATGAAACACTTCAATGTGTCCATTGCAATACAGACCCTGTTTTAACCTACTGACATAACTGATGCTTCAGAAAATTACAAAGCACTTCAGAAACAAGCTTAAAATAATTTACTAGACCAGTGGTTCTTAACCTTTGTTGGGTCATACACCTCTTTGAAAACCTGATAAAAGCTAAAAAGACGTACTGTGCCATTAAACATATTTAAGTTATGGATGACTGGTTCAATTGTTTTTTACCACTTGGAAAAAGAGCTCAATAGAGACTAACACTAATTGCTTGATTCAATGCGCACACGGAGGAAGGAAAATTGGCTGTATGTTTGTTTTCTTTAATTCCTAATTCTGTTGGAAGTAGTGACAGTCTTTTCCTAGTGCTGAAAACACTGTTTTCATCATCATCATCATCATCATCATCATCATCATCATCTTTAATTACTTATTAATCGCCCTCCATCCGAGATGCTCCAGGTGATTTACATTGCAGAAATTATACAGGATAAAACACGTACACACAAATATTAAAATTAACATGGGTCAAATGCTCTAGTAAAAAGCCAGGTCTTAAGTGCTAAGATAAAATGCCCTAAGTCACGCATGGCTCTGAAATAGGGAGGCAAGGAATTCCATAAGGCAGGGGCAGGAATAGAGAAGGCCCTGCGCCTGGTGCTTTCCAAGTGCACTTCCCTAGGACCCGGCATATAGAGCAAATCGTGTTGGGATGGTCATGGAGACCTTCGATAATGGTAGAAGGAGAGACGGTCTCTAAGATACAATGGACCCTGGCCATATAAAGTTTTAAAGGTCAGGACCAGCATCTTATACAAACCACGATGCTCAATTGGGAGCCAGTGTAGATGCCGCAGCACTGGTGTTATATGGCATTTCATGGGTGTTTTTGTGAGTAACCTGGCTGAAGCATTCTGGACAATACGGAGCTTTCGGGTCGTAGAAATAGGAAGGCCAACATACAAGGCGTTACAATAGTCTAGCCTAGATGTGACCGTGGCATGGATGACTGTTGCTAGAGCCTCATCCGACAGGTAAGGTGCCAGTTGCCTCGCTTGTCGTAGATGGAAAAAGGCCTGCTTGCTGGCAGCAGCGACCTGAGCCTCCATCTTCAGTTGCGAATCCAAAACGACACCTAGGCTCTTAATGGTAGGCGATGGAGATAGAGCAGCGCCATCAAAGGTAGGTAACGGATGGGTTGGACCTATTGGGCGGCCATGCCACAGGATTTCAGTCTTCTCCGGATTCACCTTCAGTCTGCTAGCACATAGCCAGTTCGATAAAGCCTCCAGGCATAAGGGTAAATTAAAAACAAAAAGTGACTTACTGTATATACTCCAGTATAAGCCCCTTTTTAAGGCTGAAAAAGCTCCCCTCGGCTTATACTCGAACCAAGGTTATTTATTATTTTATTCTGTTATCAACATTATTTTTATTATATTTATTTAATTACTCTATTATTATTTTATTTTATTTTATTACTCTATTATTATTACATTTATTATTTTACTCTATTTATTATTGTTATTATTACATTTATTATTTTGCTCTCTATTATTATTATTATTATTATTAAGCACATTTACATTGAAGAAGGCTAGAATAATAGTTTAATCAGAGTTGGGTAGTCTTATATTACAGTTTTATGTAAATATTCAGAAACATTTAACCTACTGATGCCTCAATTAATGTAATTTTATTGGTATCTATTTTTATTTTGAAATTGACCAGTATCTGCTGCATTTCGCACCCTCGGCTTATACTCTAGTCAATACATTTTCCCAGTTTTTGTGGTAAAATTAGGTGCCTCAGCTTATATTCGGGTCGGCTTATACTCGATTATTTATGGTAATTTACAAACTGAAATGCAACTTCTTTGATGGAAAGGGTTCATTATCTTAGAAGAAATTGATGAAATGTAGTGTGATAATATCAGTATAGTCACAACATTTTCCTTTCATTCCCTAACAGAAGTTATTACGACTTCAGGTCATTTATCTTATCAAAATTAATATACAGGCAGTCCCCAAGTTATGACTTACGTATGACTCCTACTTAGAAATGTGGGTTTTGGTTTTTGTTTTGTTTTTTCGTGTCAGGAGCCACTTTGAGAAACTGCAAGTCGCTTCTGGTGTAAGACAACTCATCATCTGCAAGGACGCTGCCCAGGGGACGCCCAGATGTTTAACATTTTACCATCATTGTGGGAAGCTTCTCTCCAGCTCCCCACATGGGGAGCTGGAGCTGACAGGGGGAGCTCAACCCACTCTCCCCAGATTGAAATGTGGGTGAGACAAAAAGAAATCAGCCCTGTTGTCTCACCATGGTGAGGAAATCTACCCCTAGGAACAAATACTGCAGGGGTGTTAATTCTTCCCTACGTTACCCAATACTAGAAAAAATTGACTGGAGTTACACTTTAAAATGTACCTGTTCTGAGTTACATACAAGTTCAACTTAAGAAGAAACCTACAGCACCTATCTTATTCATAACCCAGAGACTGACTGTACTAATTTTGGGAGCTAGGGGCAACCTGCAGTGCAAAGAATTTGATCAAGAACAACACAAGAACAACACACTATGGGAATAATGACTGCTCACAGTAGAGACTAAAACTTCTTTGTCTCAGCCCAATGATCCTCATAAACGAATAGTGCCTATATGTTCCTGCCTCCAAACTGCTGGATCATCAAATGGGGATAGTAGGTGGACCATCCTGGGCTCCTGTTTGCAGCTACTTAAGGCCAGAGTTTCCCTATATGTGGAGTAGGATAAAGGTTTACAGGACTGTGATATAATTTATTTATTTCGTATATTTCTATCCGCCCTTCTTCCCATAAGGGGGCCTCACATAAGAATCAGAAGATACTAACAGCATAAATACCATAAAAATTACAATTAACAATAAAATCATTTTAAAAACATTATACAACATCATCAGTAAATTTAACAATAAATTAACGTGCCAGTAAAACCAAAAACCAAGCAGGGAGAATCCATGTTGCAAAATCTAAAATTCCTTTTCCTATTGCCGCTGGCCTCTAATCTAATTTATTTATTTATTTATTTCGAGTATTTCTACCCCGCCCTTCTCAACCCCCGAAGGGGGACTCAGGGCGGCTTACAAAAGGCACAATTCGATGCCAGCAATACACATAGTAAGATAAATACATAGCAGCAACAATTATAAAACAATTAAAACAATCCAGCTTTACAGTACAACTAATAAAAACCAATCTAGTGATCAACGTTCGCCAAGCTCAAAATCCGTAAGTTCATTCCGCATTGTCATAATCCTATCCAGTTCTAGTTGTCATTGTCCTTTGTCTGTCTGCCAGGTTACCCAAAGGCCTGGTCCCATATCCATGTTTTTAGTTTCCTTCTAAAAGAGAGGAGGGATGTCGATGACCTAATTTCCCCGGGAAGCGAATTCCACAGGCGAGGGGCCACCACTGAGAAGGCCCTGCTCCTCATCCCCACCAGCCTCACTTGTGATAGAGGTGGGGCCGAGAGCAGGGCCTCCCCAGAAGATCTTAAACTCCGAGGTGGGTTATAGAAGGAGATGCGTTCGGCAGATACACTGGGCCGGAACCCTATAGGGTTTTGTAGGTCAAAACCAGCACTTTGAATTGTGCTCGGAACTGGATCGGCAGCCAGTGGAGCTTACATAAGGGTTGGTATGTTCCCTGTATGACGCTCCAGTGAGTAATCTGGCCGCCGCCCGATGGACTAATTGAAGTTTCCGAACAGTCGTCAAAGGCAACCCCATGTAGAGTGCGTTGCAGTAATCTATTCGGGATGTAACAAGAGCGTGGACCACTGTGGCCAGATCCGACTTCCCAAGGTACGGGCGCAACTGGCGCACAAGTTTTAATTGTGCAAAAGCTCTCCCGCCCCAGAGCCAGGTCTTCAGTTGTCTTCTAAAGGACAGGAGGGGTGGCCAACCTGATGTCCTTAGGGAGAGAGTTCCACAGACGGGGGGCCACTGCCGAGAAGGCCCTGTCTCTCGTTCCCACCAATCGCGTTTGCGAGAGTGGTGAGATCGAGAGCAGGGCCTCTCTTGACGATCTTAAGCTTTGTGATGATTCATAGCAGAAGATACATTCGGATAAGTAATCTGGGCCACAACTGTTCAGGGCTTTAAAGGTTAAAACCAGCACTCTGAATTGTGCCCGGAAGCTGATCGGCAGCCAGTAATATAATCCTCAAATTAAAAGGACTTTTTTTTTTTAGTGAAACAGTTTCTAACTACAGTCCAGGTGATCAATACTTCTACTATTATGGTAAAGTCCTACTATAAGAGACAGAAAGTAGGGCATGACAGTCTTTTGGTGCAATTATCATATGAAAATTACTGATGGTGAGCCCATGGTAAATCAACAAGAAATGAGACACTCACTTTGTGATGATTTGGATTACTGAATGCATTTCTGACTGTTCCTGTGCTCCAGCACGTCTCTTCTGATCTGATAATTTCAGAGTGCGACTCAGGAAACTGTAAAACATCTTCGTTGCCTTTAACTGTCTTTTTTCCATCAAGGGAGACATACCCATTGTCAGTCTCTGTAGATTTATCTATAGAGTTCTTCATTTTCTTCACTCTAGAGTTAAACATATACATAAAATTAAGAAATTAATTTTTTTCGCTATAACTTCCTCCATTTCCAGCTTCCCCAATTGTCATACAACAGAAAAAGTATGCGGACTTAATTTAACATGTGATATATTCATGTCATATAGTATTTTAATCTACAAAATTCCTGCAAAGAATTAATGATTCTGGATATGCAAAGTTAACTGCCAAATTCAACTGCTTTTTTCTTGAAGGTGGCATTTGCTTTTAATAAAGATTTGTTTATGACCACCAAAATATAGCAGTTCCTTAGTCCTGTATGCTCAGAGCAAAAGAAAAGTAACAAAACACATGGTTTCTTGCAAAAAAAAATAATACAATGTTGAATGTATGCCATACTTTTTTTTAAAGGTACTTGTAACATTTAATTAAAAGTAGACTAATAAGGCCTCTATTAGTCGACTAATAACGCCTTCATGAGGTCACAAAGAGTCAGAAGCGACTGAACAAATAAACAAAAAACAATAAGGCCTCTAAGCAGTAGAAACTGAATGAAATATTAGATAACAGTATTTTCTTCTGAATATAAAATGAAAGAAACTGACTAAGTTTAGTCAAGTAATTCAGAAATGTCATTATAAAAATACGAATGGAGTGAGTGAATAGATGGATGACCATGAAATACGGAAAGCTTTAAATACTGCCAAACAATGCACTTTTTCTGACACTAATGTTGGTTTTCCAGCAAATTCACAGATATTCCTATTTCTCCATCATTACAATTCATTAGAACATTGACATATTCATACATGCTCACACAGTATTTTCTGAGCCCCAAATAAAAACGGAAAGTGTTACTTGCCTAAGTACACATTTTATATGAAAATTTGGATCAGAAGAAACAGAAATACAGCAAGGAAATGTCAGAAACCTAGTTTATATACTACTAGCTGTCCTCTGCCACGTGTTGCTGTGGCCCAGTCTGTGTATATGTGCTTTGTGTGTGTGTATTTGTGTATATGTGTGTATATATGTGTGTTTGCCTATATATGTGTGTGCGCGCGCACGTATGCATGCGTTGTAATGTATTTTTTGGCTCCACTGTGTTTTCAGTGTTTTTATGAGTGATGGTCACTTGTTGGCATGATGCGTGTATTGTGTCCAAATTTGGTGTCAATTCATGCAGTGGTTTTTGAGTTATGTTAATCCCACAAACGAACATTATATTTTTGTTTATGTAGACTGGCTAAGGTAGTTTAGTTTAATAATTCTGATATTATTTCATTGATATTCATTGCATATTATGAATATTTAATAAGTAGACTGCCACAAGACATATTAGTAGCCAAATTAGTGGGTAGTAAACACAGGTTCATAGCGAGATAAAGCTAGCTCTTGGCAAGAGTAGTAGCGACACTGCAGCTGGCAGGATATACAGCAGGCATGGGCAATCCGTGGTCCTAAATGGTTCTAAAGTATTTACAAAACTAAAGTTCTCATGGTGAAAACTAGGGGGTGCTGGTGCTTTGCTTCTACAATTTTGCTAAAATTCTGGTGGTGAAAATTTCAGAACTCTAACAAAGCTTTTAAAATGTTGTTGTAAATGGCAGTTCCTAATTGGTTCTGTCTTTAAAATTGCCAATAATGAAATAACAATGCAATTTTGAAAGTTTTGTTAGAGTTCTGAAATTTTCACCACCAGAACTTTAGCAAAGCACTAGCACCCCCTAGTTTTCACCACCAGAACTTTAGGTTGTAAGTACTTTAGAACCATGGATCGCTCATGCCTAATATACAGGGTTTGAATGGAAATCAAATCCTCCAGCTTTTTTCATTTTCCGGCAGAACAAGTCAAAGAACATCCTCTAAATTCTTGTATCACCTACTAGCTTTGGACTTCATCTTCCCTCTACCCTAGCCAAATAAAAGGAAACAAATAAGGAATAAGGAACTTGAAAACTGAGACTTCTGCCAAGATTCAACTTGTCTGTCAATCATCAAATAGAAAGGATGAAATAACCAAGGACAAAAGTGACATATGGGCATCAGCAAAAAAGAAAAAAGAAAGAAAATTGTGGCTGGAAGAAGATGACGCCTCTAAGGACAACTCAGACTTAGAATATTGCATCTGAAAATTGTTGATCAGTTCAAAGTATGCACACACGTAAATGTAAAACTCGTATCTGGCCATTAAATTTGCAGATAATAGCATGGATGAGTCCTCATTGACCCGAAGGGAGCATTTTGTTATTCAAACCCCTTTTAACCTCCTCGAGATAGAATTCAAAGCCTTTAGCAAAATGGTTGTCTGAAGACAGTGACCCTGTTTCATCGTGTCTGGAAACTGTCAGATTGGCAAAGGTTGTCCTAAAGTATGGGATTTCATTTTACCTGTTTAATAACACGACAAATTAATTAATTAATTAATTAATTAAATATGTATTGTCGAAGGCTTTCATGGCTGGAATCACTAGGTTCTTGTGGGTTTTTTCGGGCTATATGGCTATGTTCTAGAGGCATTTTCTCCTGACGTTTCGCCTACATCTATGGCAAGCATCCTCAGAGGTAGTGAGGTCTGTTGGAATTAGGAAAATGGGTTTATATATCTGTGGAATGACTGGGGTGGGGCAAAGAGCTCTTCCCTGCTGGAGCTAGGTGTGAATGTTTCAACTGACCACCTTCATTAGCATTAGAAGGCCTGGCTGAGCCTGGGGGAATCTTTTGTTGAGAGGTGTTAAGATGTGCCTGGTTGTTTCCTCTCTGCTGTTTTGCTGTTGTAATTTTTGAGTTTTTTAATACTGGTAGCCAGATTTTGTTCATTTTCATGGTCTCCTCCTTTCTGTTGAAATTGTCCACATGCTTGTGGATTTCAATGGCTTCTCTGTGTAGTCTGACATGGTAGTTGTTATTTAAATAAATAAATAACATTTCATCCCTGATCTGTATCTCTCCTCTTTTTTCTATCCCCTCCCACCTTTTACCAACATGTACATGGTTCACTTGCCTTCAAATGTTGTCTTTATTGAGAAATAAAAAAAATATACCAAAAATTATTACAGTATAACGTGTTAAGTCCATCTAGAGCAGTGTTTCTCAGCCTTCCTAATGCTGTGATCCCTTAATACAGTTCCTCCTCTTGTGGTGATCCTCCCTGCAACCATACAACTATTTTTGTTGCTACTTCATAACTGTAATTTTGATACTGATATGATTCGTAATGTCAGTATCAGATATGCAAGATGTATTTTCATTCACTGGACCAAATTTGGCATAAATACCCCATACACCCAAATTTGAATACTGGTGGGGTTGGGGGGGGGGTTGATTTTGTCATTTGGGAGTTGTAGTTGCTGGAATTTATAGTTCACCTAAAATCAAAGAGCATTCTGAACTCCACCAACAATAGAATTGAACCAAACTTGGCAAACCAGGACCAACAGAAAATACTGGAAGGGTCCAGCTCTCACATACGTAGGTTACTACAGGGAATACCATGGCTTTGACTATGCGGATCTTTGTTGCCAGTCTGATGTCTCTACTCTTTACTATTTTATCGAGACTGGACATTGCTCTCCTCCCAAGAAGTAAGCGTCTTCTGATTTCCTGGCCACAGTCTGCATCTGCAGTAATCTTTGCCTAGAAATACAAAGTCTGTCACAGCCTCCACATTTTCTCCCTCTATTTTCCAGTTGTCAATCATTCTTGTTGCCATAATCTTGGTTTTTTTTATGTTTAGCTGCAACCCAGCTTTTGCGCTTTCTTCTTTCACCTTGATTAGAAGGCTCCTCAGCTCCTCCTCACTTTCGGCCATCAGAGTGGCGTCATCTGCATATCTGAGGTTGTTAATGTTTCTTCCAGCAATTTTCACCCCAGCTTTGCATTCATCAAGCCCCGCACATCGCATGATGTGTTCTGCATACAAGTTAAAAAGGTTGGGTGAGAGTATGCAGCCTTGCCGTACACCTTTCCCAATCTTGAACCAGTCTGTTGTTCCGTGGTCAGTTCTGACTGTTGCTACTTGGTCCTTGTACAGATTCCTCAGGAGAGAGACAAGGTGGCTTGGTATGCCCATCCCACCAAGAACTTGCCACAATTTATTATGATCCACACAGTCAAAGGCTTTAGAGTAGTCAATGAAGCAGAAAGAGATGTTTTTCTGAAACTCCCTGCCTTTCTCCATTATCCAGCGGATATTGGCAATCTGGTCTCTCGTTCCTCTGCCTTTTCTAAACCCAGCTTGAACATCTGGCAACTCTCGCTCCATGTATTGCTGGAGTCTTCCTTGCAGGATCTTAACCATAACCATAAGATTAACAAAACAATATAAGCATAAAAATTGTCTCCATAACACACATATATAATTAAAAGTAATCCTGCCTGTTCAAGGCAAATTTAAAAGGCCGGGCCAAGATTTGTGCAAGCTCAAAAATTCTAGGGGGCCCGGGAATTAAGTGCAATGTTATGGCAGGCAACAATAATATTAGGTACGGGTCTGTGGCTGTTCATTCCGGGGCTGATTAGAGGAAGTGATCTGGGTAATTGGTAGGAAGAATAAGGTCGTATTCGACAATGTATAAGAACTGGACATTTTCAAAGGCTTGTTGAAACCACCAGGTCTTAAGCTCTTACGAAAGGAGGGGAGGGATGGGGCCTGTTTTATTTCCTGTGTACAGAACATTAGCAAATACAAGCTCTGTGGCTTTTAAAAATACAGGCAGTCCCCAAGTTACGAACAAGATAGCTTCTGTAGGTTTGTTCTTAAGTTGAATTTGTATGTAAGTTGGAACAGGTATAGTTTTAAGTTAACTCCAACCATATAGAGGGAGAGAGCTCTTAATAGCACAGGAAAGAGTTAATACACCTGTAGTGTTTGTTTTTCTGTCTGTGATCCTGTTCAGAAGATTTCACCACACGTTATCCTGGTGATAATTGAATAACTGGACACCTTTTCCCCATGATAACTCTTCCAGGAGTGAATTTCCCTTCCGAGGGGTAGATTTTTCTCACTTCCTGTTGTTTTTCTCACCCCTGTTCTTAACTGTGAGTCATTAGTAAGTTGGATGTTTGTAACTTGGGGACTATATGTAAATATCATATACTGTATATACTCGAGTATAAGCCGACCCGAATATAAGCCAAGGCACCAAATTTTACCACAAAAAACTGGGAAAATGTATTGACTCGAGTATAAGCCGAGGGTGGGAAATGCAGCAGCTACTGGTAAATTTAAAAATAAAAATAGATACCAATACAATTATATTAATTTAAGCATCAGTAGGTTAAATGTTTTTGAATATTTACATAAAACTGTAATTCAATATAAGACTGTGCAACTCTGATTAAACCATTATTCTAACCTTCTTCAATGTAAATATGCTTACATGTCCTCCGATAAGAATAGAGTAAAATAATAATAGAGTAAAATAATAAACGTAATAACAACAATATAGTAAAATAATAAATGTAACAATAACAATAATAGAAAAAAATAATAAATGTAATAACAAAAATAAAAATGTAATAATAATAACAAAGTAAAATAATAAATAATATTGACTCGAGTATAAGCTGGGAGAGACTTTTTCAGCCTAAAGAAAGGACTGAAAAACTAGGCTTATACTCGAGTATATACAGTATATATTTTAATAAATCTTACAAACATTAAAACTCTAGATTGGAATTTCCCAAACTTTATATACATTTTACATTATATATTTACATTATATATTGTTGAAGAAAATAAAAAATGAGTTTTCCAAAGTCTTTAGATAGTAGATTATGTTTGTAATTACGGTCAAAGTAGTGGACACTGTTGTTTTGAATATGCCTTATCTTTCAAAGGTTATATAGAAGGAAAATGAGATGTTTATGCAAAACCAAAGTGGGGTAAACGAAGTGGGGTAAACCAAGAATGCATTTCCTTTTGTAAAAGAAACATAGATGCCACAATTTTAGTTAACAATTATCTAAGCATACAGATATAAGACACTGGTGCAACAGGTAAAAAATTCATTAATCAGTGAAATGCACTATCCCCTTTCCTGATGCTATAGAAATAAAAGCATTGCATAGCATTAATGCTTAATTTTTTTAAACATCTTAACCAAATGGGAGATTTTTTTCCTTTTAGCAATCCTTCCAAGTTGATTACTACGTTACTTTATGATTAAACAAAGGCGTTTTCTGGATTTAAAACAGTCCGGAGAAGGACAAAAACACAGGCCTCTTCATTATCTAAGACAGAGTCATGCAATTGCCAAAGATTAGGAGACTTTACTGACAAAATTGTCCTCGATGGCTTGTGGATATTTGAAGGCAAAATAACTTGAAATTGAGGCTGATTTGGGGCCCTGGAGGCTGCAAAATGGCCATGGAGCATGTTTGCTATAGTCTCTCCACCTCTACTTTAGGAGATATGAGTCTTAAAAATACCCAGGATGTTGAGAAGCCCTGTGGGTTGTGCATATCTTTGGGATCATTTTTTCATCTGCTCTTAGTTTAATTGCTTTTTAAAATATTTTGGGTAGTTCTTTACTATGAAAAGTATCCCAATAAACCATTTGAGCAGTGTCAAGTAGAAATCTCCATACTAAAAATTTCTGAAATGTCCTCCACATTCCACGTTTTTTTCCTTTTACACAATGGCAGGCAATGCCCAGTTCTGCATTCTTTCCCTCCCTAGTAACTCAGCCTCCAAGATACAGACAACAGACTTTTTGTCCTGCCATCCTCAGTTTCTGAATTAATTAAATCATCATATGTTTTCAGTGTAAACAGCCTGACACTAAATAATATTGCATTTCCTGTCATCATAATTTTGAAAAATAAAATTGGAAAAAGGAACTAAAAATGGCCCTGCATTTCAAGATGAGTTCATAGAAGAGTCTTTGAACAAATTAAAGTTAATTGTATTATATAATCTCTTAAAAAGCAGAACAAGGAAACCTGCACATACATTCAGAAGAACATTCAGAAGAACAGGATCTACATCTGTTTTTCTCTGGCCTTTGTAAGAAAAAAATGATCTAAACCAGGGTCCTCAAACTTTTTAAACAGAGGACAAGGTCACAGTCTCTCAAACTGTTGGAGGGCCGGATTATAATTTGGAAAAAAACAAAACATGAATGAATTCCTATGCAAACAGCACATATCTCATTTGTAGTGGAAAAAACACTTAAAAACAATATAATAATTAAAATGAAGAACAATGTAAACCAGGGGTCCTCAAACTAAGGTCCAGGGGCCAGATATGGCCTCCAAGGTAATTTACCCGGCCCTCACTCAGGGTCAACCTAAATCTGAAACGGCTTGAAAGCACACAACAACAACAGCAACCCTATCTCATCAGCCAAAAGCTTCCCATTGAAATACTAATAAGTTTGTATTTGTTAAAATTGTTCTTCATTTAAATTAATGTATTGTTTTAAAGTGTTTTTGCACTACAAATAAGATATGTGCAGTGTGCATAGGAATTGATTCATGTTATTTTCGAACTATAATCCGGCCCTCCAACAGTTAGAGGGACTGTGACTTGGCCCTCTGGTTAAACAGTTTGAGGACCCCTGATGTAAACAAATATAAACTTATTAGTATTTCAATGGGAAGTGTGGGCGTGCTTTTGGCTGATAAGATTGTTGTTGTTGTTGTTGTTGTGTCCTTTCAAGTTGTTTCAGACTTAGGTTGACCCTGAGCGAGGGCCAGGTAAATGGCCTTGGGAGGGCCGTATCTAACCCTCGGGCCTTAGTTTGAGGACCCCTGATCTAAACCATAAGAGAGTTATTTGCATAATTAGAGAGAATAGAGCCTCAAGTGTCAAAATTCGTTTAGATTGTTGTAAGGAGATTAGAGATTATGAACACTTAGATCTATGATTCCCAAACTTTAGTCCTATGGGTGTTTTGATCTATAACTCTCAGAAACCCCAGCTAAATTGTGAGGAATTATGGAAGGTGAAGTTCAAAACATTCAGGAGACCAAAGATTATAAAATACTAAGTAGGCTGTACAGAGGTATGCTGGAAAAGGGTGAATGCTCACTATGACAGAAAGGGGATAGTGCATCTTCCAGACAGACATATGCTTGAATAAAATACAAACCCTGATAAAAAGAAAGCGGCATGCCAGATATCTCTGAAGACAGCGCCAATACTGTAAGAGGTGCTTGTACCGTAGCTCTGCACTGTTCCTTCCTGTGTGTTATCTGTGGTACTAGAGCCATCTCCTTCCCTATGTACTTCCAAATGTGCTGCTTTCCTTAATTTCCTTCATTAGAAGAGATCAAAAGTGGAAGGTATCTTGTAAGTGTCATTCACTAACACTAAAAAAATGATCAGCGTTCTTTCAAACATGCAACATGTGCTTTAAATCCAGCTATCACGGTGGCTTAAAATATTTTGCTACTGTACATAAAAGAAAGTTTTTATTCCCACCCAAAGTACAAGAAAAATCCCTACCAACTATCACAAAATAACAGAAACATAAGAACTTGAATTCATTCTCCATTATTCATGCTAACTTTAGTCCTGATGAATTTACTCAGTGCTTAATGCTGCACCTTTTAGGTGTTTTATTTTGTTCTCTTTAATGAAATACAAATTATTATTATGTGCAGTTTAACAAAACTACACAACAATATTCACACGTTTTAGAAAGGACAATACAATTTTTAAAAATCATCATCGTTCAATAAAAACATTGACACAATGCAATTTTTAGGTGTGTATAATAGATTTTAATAAACGTATTGCAAAAATATTTTAGTTCCTGAAGTAAAATTGCATGCATAATGGACCCACAATGTTAGCACCAACTGTACCTTCTCCTTCTCCCTCCTGTACTTGGAGGTGGTTTAGGTGTTCTTGTTGAAACAATCTGACAGTGCACTGTTCCAAGGAGCAACATGAGCAATACAGGCTCTATTACTTCAGTCAGAGGTATATTATGTGGGCCTTCTATTGTACAGAACAATACTACCGCAGCAACTTTTAAAAGAAATAAAAGAGGAGAGCGTGAAGCATCCAATCTGCACCAGTAATAAATAATCAAGCAAACATTCTCAAGTCGAAGATTTCCCCCATATATTGGAATTCATCTAATTAGAAATTAGTATTTTTCCAAGTTAAACACATACCAATGGGTCATAATTTTCTTGATTTCTGTTGGATGGTGCTCTGTTTATTAAGTTACATGCTTTCCGATATTTATAACTGACAGAGCCTTTAAAATACTAGCAACTCGATGACACCAAAACTTATTAAATCCTATGTCATAGACAAATACAGATGTCTTCCCACAACTAAACTTTTTGGAAGCAACTTTTGGATATTCTGATCTGAGAAGAAAAATCTAAAAAGTAACTACCAAAGAAAACACAAAAAAGAGTGTATATTCTAACAATACTTTTGTCAAATACAATATGAATTTATAGAAAAAGTACCTATTGGGAAGCTGCCACCTTAGCAGAAGCTATATATTAATTGTAGTTGTTGTGTGTCTTCAACTCATTTTTACTTATGTAGGTAACTTCGCATTATGCTTATATTATATCAGAGACAGGATGTTTCTAAATACCAGTTGCTAAGGGACAAATTCAGCAGGGCTCTTCTTAAGGTAAAGGTAAAGGTAAAGGTAGTCCCCTGACATTAAGTCCAGTCATGTCTGACTCTGGGGTGTGGTGCTCATCTCCATTTCTAAGCCGAAGAGCCAGCGTTGTCCGTAGACACCTCCAAGGTCATGTGGCCGGCATGACTGCATGGAGCGCCGTTACCTTCCCGCCGGAGTGGTACCTATTGATCTACTCACATTTGCATGTTTTCGAACTGCTAGGTTGGCAGAAGCTAGGGCTGACAGCGGAAGTTCATGCCGCTCCCCGGAATCAAACCTGCGACCTTTCGATCAACAAGCTCAGCAGCTCAGTGTTTTAACCCACTGTGCCACCGGGGGCGCCCGGGCTCTTCTTACATTCTCCCAATTCCAGCTCAAGTAACTAATGGCATAGAACAGGGATCCACAAACTTTTTAAACAGAGGGCCACGTCACAGTGCCTCGAACTGTTGAAGGGCGGGATTATAATTTGAAAAAAATATAATTATAAATACAAATTTTATTTGTACTGCAAAAATCACTTAAAAACAATACAATAATTAAAATGAAAACAATTTTTAAAAATATAAACTCATTAGTATTTCAATGGGAAGTGTGGGCCTGCTTTTGGTTGATGAGATAGGATTGTTGTTGTTGTTATGTGCTTTCAAGTTGTTTCAGACTTAGGTTCAAGTTGTTTCAGACCCTGAGCGAGGGCCGGGTAAATGACCTTAGAGGGCTGCATCCGGCCCTGGGCCTTAGTTTGAGGACTCCTGGCATAGAAGGTATTAGTGCAGAAAAAAATCATCTCAGTCTCTTTTAGTCCCAAATCTCCTTGAATCTTTCTGTTTAATATCACTCTGCTTATTTAAATCCAATTGCTAGGACAAACCATAGTAGGCCCATTCAATCAACTTCTGAGTGGAAATGTAAATCCCATAATTCAACGAGTCTACTCAAGCTAGGACTAACAACTGGATCTAACAACATAGAGAGAGGTAATATTATATTCTTCGCACAGTTCCCTTTTTAAGATTATCAAATTCTAAACTATTGCTTGAGTTAAGATAATTTAGCTTCTCAACCACAATTTCAATTTTTCAAGCAATGTACATTTTAGGGGGGTGGTGGTAAAATGTCTACTAGAATTTAGGAAGATGAAGTTTAGCGTTTATTAAGGTATGTGTTTGTTGCAGGGTCTCATTCAGCTGTACCTTGAAGAAGATAAAGGACAAGGAGCCAGAAGAAAATAACCTTTGATGTCACTTGTAGCCACCACCTGAAGAAGAAGGGGAAGAAAACAACTCTAACAATTCCTTTTCGAGTCAGGGAGGTCCATGGACTTTCTGGTTTAGCTTTAGCAAAGGCAGATCCTAAATAAAAGAAAAATGAATTAGTCACTTATTTAGCAACACAGAAAATTTCTAGTTACTGTATGTCTAAGGTGGAATCCGAACATTTTAAACATATATTGAAAGAATTCAATGACAGGCTTCCTACAGAGGAGAAAGGTTGTATTAAGACAGTGGTTCTCAACCTGTGGGTGTTGTAGTAGAGCCTGTGAGTAACGTTGCAAGCAGTAGTTRGGGTGCCAGAAGGGGAAAAAGGGTTACTCGTGAGCAGGAGTCTGATGAGGAACAACAGAGGAAAAGGATCCGGGATATACTTATGGCACCTACAGATGAGGACTCATTTGAGGGGTTCTCTGGGGATGAAGGAGAGGAGGGAGACACAATGGATGGGAATAGGGGAAGAAAGAGGGTTACTTGGGAGCAGGAATCGGATGAGGAGCGACAAAGGAAGAGGATCCAGGATATATTTACAGCACCTACAGATGAGGATTCATTTGAGGAATTCTCTGGGGATGATGGGTCACAGAGTGGGGAAAATGGGGAGACACCYTGGATTGGACTAAGGTAAAGGAAGTGCAAGCTATTTGTGCGGAGCCAACATCTAGTGATACAGTTATGGGATTCTCTGGCAATCGGGGAATACAACTGAGTCTTGGGGGGATCTAAGTCTTGACGGGAGATGGAGAAGATGGAGGGATGGGCGTAGGACTTCACATGAAGAATTGGAAGCAGCTGCAAAGGATAATCATGGGGCTGTGGTCAGTTCATCTTCTGATGAGGATGTGTAGACAAAAATGGGTTCAGAAATGGGGGATGTTTACAGAAGGCAAGGTGTTGGTAAACGTTCGTGCATTGGGTACTGTCTGGACTTGTCGCTGCCTGTTTCGTGTTCGGCATTGGGTTTGGGATCTGCAGGTTGCTGTTCCTGTTTGTGGGTGCTTTCGACTTGGATTGGATTCTCGTGAGTGTGGATTTCCCCCTTCCTGGACCTTGGACCGGCTTGACTATGATGCTGCTTCCGGGGAATGTGGAATTTCGCTATTCCAGATTTCTCTTGCTACGACCCTGGACTTCGCTTGACTACTCTTCTCTCCCTGCGGTTTTTCTGCTTTTGTTTACCATTTGCATGCTGTGCCTTCTTTGTGTGACTTCAGAGTACTGTGTTTGATTCGGTTCTTTTATCTGGATAATCCGGATTATACCTTTGTTTACCTTTTGAACCAGGACTGATTTTACATTTGAGTTTTGACCAGAGGCATTGAGTTTAAGTGTCTCTGCGTCCTTTTCGTTTGCTTCAATAAACTCTGTTTGGGTCTAACTCTGAGTCTGGCACTTTAAGGTGTCTGTGATTCCCACAGTGGGTCCCCAGGTGTTTTGGCCTACAACTCTCAGAAATCCCAGTGAGTTTATCAGTTGTTAGGATTTCTGGGAGTTGAAGGACAAAACATCTGGGGACCCACAGGTTGAGAACCACTGTAATAAGAAATATGGCCTTATCCCATCATCCAGAATGAAAGCATAACCCTGTACAGGGAGAGGTTTGGCAGGCATGGGTCAGAAAGTTAGCCATGAAGAAACCTGTTTTCTGTTCATGTCCTACAGAAAGAGAACAGCTTAATGAAATTGATGCCTGTGCTTAGTTCTCTCAAACCCAGGAGTATTTCTTCAGGAATAGCAAGAATAAAGCTTTACCCTTCTGTAAGTCAGAGTGAAATTGTGCCTGCCTCCCTTCTAAGGAAAGACTGGAGTGTGGATGCATTTTTTTTCAGTTTGCAAATTTGCAAATACAAGAGATGGCATTTGGCCAGTATTTACTGACAAACTGAATGATTAATTGTATATGAATCTATTTAAAGTGACTGGTTATAGAACTATTCACAGTAGCATTGTAAATCATGTGGTCGTCCAGATGTTGTTGAATTGCAAGTTCCATAAAACTTAGCCAGCGTAACCATTAGCAAGGAGTGAACTGTAATTCAGCAATATCTGAAGAGCTGCATTATTCACATCCCTGATTTATAACATACTAGCTGTCCCCTGCCACGCATTGCTGTGGCCCAGTCTGTTGATCTGGAAAATAAAGTAATGAGAAAGTGCTGGTTTCTTATATATGTAATTTCTTTATGCTTGTGGGTAAACAGTATGTCTTGTTGTTTCTTTGTCAGTGTTGATGTGGAGAATGTCTGGTTTGCCCACCTTGGAACATACAACATATCATAGTCCTTCTTTAAGGGTCCCTTTCAAATCTATGATACTATATCTGTGTATGTGTGTGAATCATATCTATCTATCTATATCTATGGCTGGATAGGTCTTTGTCAGGCGGACTTTGATTATGTTTTCTTGCCCTGATGAAGGGAGTTGGATTGGATGGCCTTAAGTATTTTCTGTTGGTCATGGGGGTTCTGTGTGGGAAGTTTGCCCCGATTCTGTCATTCGTGGGGTTCAGAATGCTCTTTGATTGTAGGTGAACTGTGAATCCCAGTGACTACAACTCCCAAATGTCAAGGTCTATTTTCCCCAAACTCTACCTGTGTTCATATTTGGCAGTATTGAGTGATTGTGCCAAGTTTGGTCCAGATCAATCACTGTTTGAGTTCACAGTGCTCTCTGGATGTAGGTGAACTACAACTCCCAAAACTCAAGGTCAATGCCCACCAAACCCTTCCAATATTTTCTGTTGGTCATGGGAGTTCTGTGTGCCAAGTTTGGTTCAATTCCATCATTGGTGGAGTTCAGAATGCTCTTTGATTGTAGGTGAACTATAAATCCCAGCAACTACAACTCCCAAATGACAAAATCATAATTTTTTGAGTGATGGTAACTCCTTGTGTTGTGAGACGTTTTTTGCCAAATTTGGTGTAATTTCGTTCATTGGTTCTTTTGTTTTTAAGGAACTCATTATGCACAGAGCATTTTTATATATATAGATTCAATAGAATTCAAGTATATTTCTAGAAGGTATAGTATAGACTAGCAGACATTGCTATCCAGATATCAACTCAAAGATGTCTTCACTATGGATATGGCTTTCTTTCCTATGAAAAAATAAACATATTCCCGACAAACAAACTACATTAATGAAGTTAAATTTGTAAACCAAATCCCTTCATATTGAGCAGCACTGCATGTTTAAAAGATCCGTCTTTACCTCTTACAAGATCAACATCGATGAGATCTGGCTTTACATGTCCAGTTTTCTTTGGCTTGTTCCTCAAACCCTGCAATGTGCAAAGAATCATAACTATTATACTGAAAAGAATGTTTAAAATTTGAAAAGGGGGTCAATAATTATGATGAACCAGAAATTCCATATTCTTTTCTCCTCCAGACATATGTTTGCTACTCTGAAGTCCATTCCCATTTAAAATGGCTTGAACGTAGAATCTGTCTCCTGTGGACAGAAAGTCTGTTTCTGACTATGTTAAGTTTTTGAGCCTCCAGAGCATTTCCACTGTTTTCTTCTCTCCTGCACTCCAAAACTGCAGAAGGTGTAGTGCTAACAGTCATGGAGGAAGGGAGAGATGGACAGATGTTACCCACCCTCCTCTAACTGGCCAGAACATCCTAAAGACTCATGGAGAGCCATCACTGAAGGAAAGAGACCCATGAATGAAATTCATTTTAACATAACTAAATTTTGGTATAAAGCAACACGTACATTTTCAGAATGATCAATAATGAAAATCACCACCCCCTTTATTATAATCTTTAAAACAGCTAAGGGAGTTAAATGAGGTAAGTTATGCAGTCACATTCTACACACACATGCTTCCAGAGTTAGTATGATACTTTGTGTGATAGATACTTAATTCTGTCCTTTAATTTTAAAAGCAGCATAAATCATCAGGCTTTGACATTTGGACTTTGGTGTAGTAATAAAGTAATCATATGCCTCATTTTAACTATGACGTCTGTGAATCGCTGTGACAGGCTAGCTTCTTCTATAGTGTAAACTATGTACCTTAAGAAACATGGAAATATCAGTTCCATCATTATGTCTCATTTTGGGTTACACAACTTCAAAAATTGATAGTTGTGCAAATACACTATACTGTTCAAGGATCTATAATAAGGCCTAAATACCTGAAAAGCACTAGGATCCTGATACCCAATGAGAAACTCCCCCCTGGGCACACAGAGGACTGGGCGACTTGGAAGGCACTGAACAGACTGCGCTCTGGCACCATGAGATGCAGAGCCAACCTTCAGAAATGGGGCTACAAAGTGGAATCCTCAACATGCGAGTGTGGAGAAGAGCAAACCACTGACCACCTGCTGCAATGCAACCTGAGCCCTGCCACATGCACAATGGAGGACCTTCTTGTAGCAACACCAGAAGCACTCCAAGGGGCCAGATACTGGTCAAAGGACATTTAATCAACTACCAAACTCACAATTTTTGTATTTTGTCTGGGTTTTTTTGCTTTGTTCTGTAAGAAATGTAATATAATTGACTGGTTGCACTGACACGATAAATAAATACTAGGATCCTGTTGGATCTTGGAAAATAAACTGGGTCAGCCCTGGTTAGTTCTTGGAGAAGAGGCCACGAATGAATAAGAGGTGCTATAGGCCATATTCCAGAGGAAGGAAGTGGTAGCACCCTTGAGTATTCCTTCCCTAAGAAAACCCTTTGAATTTAACAGGGTCACTATAAGTTGATTGGCATATACAAAACCCTTTGAAATTACCACATATTCCAGGGTAGTAGACGACTTTTTAGGCATGTAAAACCTTATAAGATTTTGGGGGTCGTCTAGTACGCCGGGTATAAAATTAAAATAATAATAAAATTACATACTATGACTGCCTTGGCCTCGGGCTCCCCTCCTCCTCCTCTTCCTCCGCCTTGGCTCATGGCAGCCTCCCGGGCAGGCTCCCCGTCCTTCCTCCCTTCCTGGCTGCCTTCCTTGCTCAGGCCCAGGCTCTCCTTTGTTGGCGGCTCGGTCCCTGGGCTGCTTCCCGCGCTGCTCAGGCCACTCTCCTTTCTGTCCAGGCCTCGTAAGAAGTGCCTCTTCTCCCGCGAGACAATGTTGTCTCGTAGGAGAAGAGGCGCTTCGCGCGAGGCCTGGCCCGGAACAAGGAGAGCGGCCTGAGGAGCGCCGGAAGCCCTTCTGATCAGGCCGCTCTCCTTCCTGTCCAGGCCTCGCAAAAAGCGCCTGGTTTGGGAAGTCTGGCCCGGAACAAGGAGAGCGGCCTGAGGAGCGCCGGAAGCCCTTCTGATCAGGCCGCTCTCCTTCCTGTCCAGGCCTCGCAAAAAGCGCCTGGTTTGGGAAGTCATCTTAAATGGCGAATATATCCCCAACTCTCTATTTTGTTTGTTAAAGTTGGGGGGTCATCTTATAGCCCCAGTCGTGTTGTACCCTGGAATATATGGTAATAAGGTCACTATAAGTTGATAGCCACATACACACACAAGCAAATTGAAAAAAAGAAAAAAAATTCTACACACTGGCCAGGTATTCAGTTATAGAAAGAATATTTGCTACTATGTATTGTCGAAGGCTTTCATGGCCGGAATCACTCAGTTCTTGTGGGTTTTTTCGGGCTATATGGCCATGTTCTAGAGGCATTTCTCCTGACGTTTCGCCTGCATCTATGGCAAGCTTCCTCAGAGGTGAGGTCTGCTGGAGCTGGGAAAACAGGGGTAATCAAGGCGAAAGAAAAAAGAGAGGAGAAAAAAGTAAATAGAAAGAGGAGGAAATAAAAGAGCTTGGGGGAGGCGAAACGAAATGCGAAAAGAAATGCCTCTAGAACATGGCCATATAGCCCGAAAAAACCCACAAGAACTGAATATTTGCTACTATCTTCTCCTCAACAACAGCAAAAAAAAACCTTAGTTTTCTCCTAACCAATGCAGCTATGGCAAAACTGATACAAGTCCATACTGACCCCATCTGAGACATTTAATTGGTTTCAGTGACCAGTTTATTTCCTTTTTAATTAGAATGTCAACTCTTGGATTAATCGCAATGAGAAACGAATGAAAACTATAGAATTGTATGCATTTTTCTTTTCACATAAAATGCCAAGGGAATTTACTGGATGGTAACTAACTAAATAGATGTATTGTCAAATAACTTAGAAACAGGAGTCAGAATGCTGCCAAATTCTAACATAGAACTGAACTGCAAATGGTCATGAAAGTCTAATAATAATAATAAACAATTTATTTATTTCATATACTTGTACCCCGCCCTTCTTACCCCCGAGGGGGGACTCAGGGCGGCCTCACAGAAAACACCATTTGGTGCCATCATAATGATAAGAACCATCAACAAATTCATTAAAACAAAACATTAAATAAGTAGTTGTTAAAACACGCCAATTAAAATCCGGGTCCGGGTCAATTCATTGTCACTTCGAAATTGCTTATGTCTTCTTCATACAAGCCTCTGTTTAATGGTCAAATGCAAGTTCCCACAGTCAAGTCTTGAGTTTCCTTCTAAAGGACAGGAGGGAGGTGGCCAGTCTGATGTCTTTGGGGAGGGAATTCCACAGATGGGTAACCACTGTTGAGAAGGCCTGTCTCTTGTCTCCACCAATCGCATTTGCGATGGCGGTGGGATCGAGAGCAGGGCCTCTCCAGATTATCTTAAACTTCGTGATGATTCATAGTAGGAGATACGTTCGGACATGTAGTCTGGGCCAGAACGGTTTGAACTGTAAAGGTTAAAACCAGCACTTTGAATTGTGCTCGGAAGCTGATCGGCAACCAGTGGAGCTGTTGTAACAGAGGAGTTGTATGCTCACTGTACGCCGCTCCGGTGAGCAACCTGGCTGCTAACCTTTGGACTAATTGAAGCTTCCAGGCAGTCTTCAAAGGCAGCCCCACTTAGACTGCATTGCAGTAGTCTAATCGGGATGTAACAAGAGCATGGACCACAATAGCTTACATTGCTCAAATTAGTATGTGAAACGTTCTCCTCAACTTGTTGTCCGGGTTGTGGGGGGGTTGCCAAATCACAATGCTTCAGTAGTAGTAGGGATGAGGTTAGTAGTAGACATACTACTAACCTCATCCCTGCTTGGCTTCTTGACTCTCAATTTCTAATACTAGCTGAATTTTTAAAATCTATTTTTTCATGCAAACAGCACAATGAGCCTTCTTGTTATTGTTATTTGCCATCAAACTGACTTCTATTTATGGCAACCCTATGAATGAAAGACCCCCAAGAGCCCTCGTTGTCAGCTGCCCTACCCAAGTCATGCAAACTTGTGACAAAATTGTTTATAATAAAAGCTTTCATTTCCCATGAAAAAAGAAAAAAGTGGTCTGTTAATGTTTCTAGCTTTGCTTCTTTGAGCAACTGAAATGTTTCTGTACAACATTCTATGCCATTTGATTAGCTCAAGCAATCAATGTCAGAATGAAACCCCAGAGGAGACAATACTTATGAAGGGGGAAGAAAGGTGGGAGGAAAACTGGGTTATGAGAAATATGGGTTCTCAATTTAACTCTTTCATTGTAAACCAAATGCAGCAATGGAGATTATTCTTTTTCCTGGCTGGCAGTCCTCCCACTCCCTGCAAAAAAACTGCAACAAATAAATATTTGCCCAGCAGGAACCCAAAAACTAGTGAAACCCAGGCCAGCAGAAGTGAAGCTGCAATAGAGGAACAGCAAGACATAACGTTTCTGAGCATTTGCCCCAAGCTGGCACGAATGGAGGGCGAAAGAGAGAAACGTGCCAAGAGGAAGGCGTATCAAGCCAACCCCGACCGGGACCACCTTCCACCTGGAAACCAATGCCCTCACTGCGGGAGATGGTGCACATCAAGAATAGGGCTCCATAGTCACCTATGGACCCAACCTGGAGGATTATCCTACTCGGACAACGAGGGGTCGCCTAAGTTAGTGTCCCCATCAGTCATACTTTTCTGTGTACTGCAGCATATTACTGCAGCATATTAGAGACATGTTTGGTATTTCATAGAATCATCGAATCATAGAATTAAAGAGTTGGAAGAGACCTCATGGGCCATCCAGTCCAACCCCCTGTCAAGAAGCAGGAATATTGCATTCAAATCACCCCTGACAGATACAGATGTACTTTTAAATTATATATTTGAAAGATAGATCATAAATAATGGTACATGTGATTGGATAGTGGGTACTATAGCCAAATGTCAACGTTAGGAATACAAAAACTCACTATCTAATAGCCCGAGATTCTTACTACTTTATCAAAGCATGAATGTGTAATTGAGTTGAACA